GCTGGCAGCTCTTGCCAGCCACCAAGATCTGCAGGAAGCTCACCTGTGCTCCTCGCTCCTCATCAAGTTCCACTGTCATCAGTGCCGATGTCCCTTTCTCACTCACTGTGGAGTGCCTTCCTTGCCAAAAGAAATACACACATTTCTCTTTTCCAACCGCTCTTACTTGTTGCTCTCCTTTTTGTCTGCTTCCAACTGCAAAACAGAAAGCACATGCTGAAGAAAGTACGTTGTCTGCAGGTTTAAGCAGCACGTGGTTTAATCTCATCTGGCAGCTCAGCGCTACCCTGGCCAGAACAGGAAAGATGAAACAACCAATTGGAGGAACATCAGGCCACCAAGCCAGCATGCTCTTATGCAAAGCTGGTATTACCTCACTGGGTGGATGTAAGCCCAAGTGCAGAGATGCTCACATAAACCAAAAAGAGAGAGCATATAGAAAGAAGTAGTAGTACCTGGAACAAAATCACTAACAAGCACTTGAGCAAATTAGCATGTGAAATGGTATGTCCCATCAAGTTATCAGAAGAGTGCTTTATGGCTCATTTTCCACATTACACACTGTTCTTTGGCAGCAAAAGAGCTGGCTGCTGAGCAATACTGGAAATAGCAACAGTTGAGAAAGCTACAGGCATAAAAGAAAACTTTCTTGGTAAAGGAAAACTACAGAACAAAAGAAACCAAAGAAGTATTTTGCAGTCATATAAGAGAACTATTTGGTAAGCTTTTTAAAATGATGTGTAGAGTAAGTGAAGTTCAACAATAAAACCAGTTATGAAATATTTTATTCTTACTGGTGAATAGTAGATAACATATAATTAATTCAAAACCAAGAGCTTTCAACCAGATTCCTAAAAATGTGCTGACCAGAATCCAATTCAAATACTTAAGAGACAGTATCCTGGTTTTATTTTTTAAATTGAGAATATTCAAGCTACTAGTCGTATCTAAAATGTATGGTTTCACTCGGAACTGTGCATTCAGCCCATAAAAGTACTGCCTCCTACACAAAAACGTATTCTTTTTTGGACTGATGGAATATATTTCCAGCCCTTTGGATTAAGAGACTGTTTACAATTCAATAGTAGTGTTATACACTTCTCCCACAGCTTACAGGCTTTTGTGTTTTTCTTGGATTCACCAGTATCAGAAGTCAGTAATGCTGAAAAAGACCTTCCTACGTTTTTTGGCTGTAAGCCTGAGGCTGTATAGCTGTTTTACTGCTTTCAACTAGCTTTGATGTTTTCGTACTCAGAGCAATCCTTTTTTAGATTATTTCTATTTTACTGATCACAAATGGCACTTATTATTTTAGTGCCAAAAGGGAGAGTTCCAATGAGCACACCGAGCTGATTTTCAACATTTACCTGCTGCTGTCAGGCACTTTGTCAGAACACAGTCAAAATTGTTTATTTGAGCCTGAAACCCATAGAAAAGGGTTTCCAGCAAAAATGACAGTAAGGGCATTCAGTTGGCAAGGACTCTTCCTGTCATTGTTGCTGTTCTCCATTACCCAACAAAGGCTTTCCTGGTTGCTAAGCCTACCTCTCCCATATCCAGATGCCTAGTTATTTTGGTGCTAAGCTGTGGGCACAGTTCTGACTTAATTGAGCTGTCTTGTGAATGTGTACAACCACTGTTGGGCAAAAGCAGAGATACACAGTACTGCATTTCAGGTATGAAAAATAACTACTGTTTTTGTGTGTGTTTTTTTTTTCTTACTTCAAGGCCTAGGAAGACTAAATTAGCATTTCTAACCTTTACAATAGTTTCACATAGTGCTGGATCTCAGCACTAACAGGAACTGTTTTATCTGCACTTATCAGTGTTTCAGCAGGATGAAACGGAATTGTTCACTAACCTGTAGTGCTCACCATGTACTTCCACTTCACCACGTATGTGTCTCCCTCATGGAACTGTCCTATGCTTTGTTTAGGCAGTCTACTATAATCAAACTCCAGGATGTGCCAGACATCCACAGACGCAGTGATAATTTCAAACTGCCTCCCATCTTCTCCTTCTACAAGTCCATAGCCCCGGCCAATATTCATTCCATCCAGAACTGTGCCTACAGCAGTTTGAGGCACAGGCACCATTAGCATGACATCATATGGTTTAGAATCAGATTTGGATTCTTCCTGCGAGAAAACACAGAACAGATTTCTTTGAGCATAGCCTTTCCCCCCTTCCCGTACTACACAGCTCCACTGAATATTTTGACTCCTGCATATTTCATTGCTTTCTATCTTGTCATCACCTGATGCCTTGTCAAAGCCACCTTGTCAGTCTTCACTGACTTGCTCAGCACTAATAAAAAACACTTCTGTGGCTTCACACTATAGCTGGTGATGTTCTGACCCTCAGGTCAGAGCCCGCAAGATAAAGAAAGTGCTCTGCATTCTTAAGAACAAGCTTCCCTGGCTTCCATCCCAGCTAGGCCATCTAGTTTGAAATACCTAGCATGCTTATTAAATGCACCTTCTGGTGAAGGGATTCACTAGAATTCTTCTCATTGAGTTTCTTCAGCTCTGTCCAATCAAGGAATTTTTCTTTGAACAGTATGGTCTCATTATGTTCTGTGAGCCTGCCAAACACAGCCCAATCTGGACGTCCTTGTCCCTTTCTGTACAAGGCAATATAAGAAAAAGAATCAAATTTAACACTGAAAGAAGGGAAAGAAACCAATGTTTCTGAAATAAGACTAAACTTGAATTTTGGTACCTGGGTATGAGGGGATTGCATTCTCCTGGGTCCAGAGGATTTATGTCACAATTTGAGTAGTCGAAGGTGCCATTCCACAAGTGTTTTGCCAGCTGGAATGCTACTTTTCTTTGTGCTAAAGTAACTTCCTTTCCATGCCAGACATACACTTCACTGCCAAAATCAAATACGAGCACCTGAATAACAAATAGAAAAAAACAAACCCAAAAAATCATTTCAGTAACACACCATCAAGTTAGGTAATGCCCTGATCCTCCAGTTTCCTGGTGCCACAAGCTGACAGTGTGTTTAACTCAAGCTCCTCCAAATATCAGAGTACTGACAGTGATACTAACAGCTACCATTATAATGAAAATAAGGCCATGGTATACACCATGGCAGTTAGAAATGAAGAATGACTGGAACTAAGTATTGGGGATGCTAAGAGGTGTATCCTTAGGTGGTAGCTAAGTTGCTAGCAGACCAGAGAGCTATGGCTATGCAAGAACTGATTCTGTTCTATGACCAAATGCTATCTGACTACAGCAACTTTCCCTGAGGTTTACACCTATACTTTTCCTCCAACAGGGGAATGCTGATACAGCCCAGGTAACTGGACCAGCCAATAGGCAGCAATGTCAGTACATTCAATAAAATGCTACTTGTTTTGTACTTCATGACTTCAGAGTGAGAAGAGCCACTGCTGCCTAAAAGATTAACATTTCCTAGAACAGTATTTCACTTTAAAGATATGATCAGATTTTTGAAGACTTGCAGCAAGCTCTAGACAACAGTATATTCAGAAGCTTTTCCCAAACACAGAGGAGCCCATTTTCAGTGGACATCTCCATGAGCATTTGCAGTCATATCAGCTGTCTGTTCCTGCAATTACCACAGTAGCAGTAAGTGGCACAATACCTCTTTTGGTTGTAGCAGGGTACATTTTGGCATCTTTCCCCAGTAGTCATCTTCAGGAATGAGTTTATCTTCTACAAGACGGTAAATGCAATTAGTTTCTATTATGGCAGCTTCATACATTTCATCCTCTTCAGGTCTTCCAGCAGCTTAAGGAAAAGATTGTCCAATATAATTATTATTATTTTTTTAGAGAAAACCAACTCAATTATTTTACTGTGATAAAACATGACATAATGTAAACATGAGAATGCTTACACTGGTAATTTGCTTGGCCACCGAGGAGTTTCCAGAAGTCTTTGGCTGCATGGGTATGGGTGTTTATTCCTTCTTCTATAGTCTGTATATAAGAAGCTCTACAGCCAAGTTCCCTCTTTGTCTGAATCAAAGTTGCAAGTTCTGAAGCCTAAAAGATTGACAGGTTTGTGTAAGTCTTAAGCATACTTGTGCATATGGCATTCAGAGAGAAGGCAAAAGCACCAAATAAGAGATACACCAAATAAACAGATACTAGAGAAAAAGTTACAGAAATACATTCATTTTTTCATTCGCCTTGAAACAAGGCTTGATCTTAACAAGAATAGGAATAAAAAGGACATCCTGCAATACAGACTATTTTTAGTTTGCGTGCAAATCCATTTCCTGAGGATATCCTCTTTTCTCTCACAGATTTGCAACTAACACATGTCTACGTCAGCTTTCATTCAGTGCACAGTGCTAACACATATTTGCAGGAAACTTGCATATCTACCCGTTGCTGACTTTCAGCTGCATACAACCTTACAAGACAAGTGGCACCAAGGCTCAGTTACGTCAAAGAGGTTTATGCTGTGACAGTTCTAAAAAAAAAAAAAAAAAAAAAAAAAGAAAAGGAACTAGTACTAACCTTTGCTTTTTCTATGACATTTGCAAACTCTCCTACCCATAAGAAACAGAGATGGGGAGTTAACAATAGGAAACAGTCTCCACTGTTCAGTGATGAGGCCCTTGGTTCAACTAATCTTGTTTGAACATGTCTTCTTCCTAAAGATAAACCAAAGCTAATTATATTCTCATGAATACCGCCATCAAATGCCAAGATCTGATCATTTTGAATGAAAGACAAACAATGCCCACACAGTTAGCAAAATACATGGAAAAAGTCTGTTAAATAAGAATGAAAGAATATAATGGTGGAAGTAGGATTTACTTACAGGAAGCAAAATTTGTTGCCTCCTATCAACTAGTATGTCTATTATTTCCCATTCTTGCTTTAACAACTTCATGTCCTTCTGGAAAAAAATCAATTAACTAGATGGCAGAGAAACAGCCAAATTCTAAAATCACTTATATGCACTCAAGAAGGCAAGGCACAGTCTGTAGTCAGTAAAAAGTTTTATGAGTTTTTGCCCAAGTAGCTATTATTTTGAAGAATCAGATACATTACTATGATATGGAATCATAGAGTGGCCTGAGTTGTAAAGGACCACAATGCTCATCTAGTTTCAACCCCCTGCTATGTGCAGGGTCACCAGCCACCAGACCAGGCTGCCCAGAGCCACATCCAGCCTGGCCTTGAATGCCTCCAGGGATGGGGCATCCACAACCTCCCTGGGCAACCTGTTCTAGTGTGTCATCACTCTGTGTGTGAAAAACTTCCTCCTAATATCTAACCTAAATCTCCCTTGTCTCAGTTTAAAACCATTCCCCCTTTTCCTGTCACTATCAACCCATGTAAACAGTAATTTCCCCTCCTGTTTATATGCTCCCTTCAAGTTTTGGAAGGCCACAATGACGTCTCCCTTGGAGCCTTCTCTTCTCCAAGCTAAACAAGCCCAGTTCTCTCAACCTTTCCTCACAGGAGAGGTGCTTCAGTGCTCTGATCATCTTAGTGCCCCTCCTCAGGACACATTCCAAGAGCTCCACGTCCTTCCTGTACTGGGGGCTCTGGATGAAGTACTGCAGATGGGGCCTCACAAGAGCTGAGTAGAGGGGGACAATCACCTCCCTCTCCCTGCTGGCCACCCCTTTTTTAATGCAGCCCAGAACACAGTTGGCCTTCTGGGCTGCAAGTGCACACTGCTGGCTCATGTCCAGCTTCTCGTCCACCAGGACCCCCAGATCCTTCTCCACAGGGCTGCTCACAAGTAGTTCTTCCCCCAGTCTATATAAATACCTAGGACTGCCCCAGACGAAGGTCAAGACCCTGCACTTGGCCTTGTTGAACCTCATTAGGTTCACACAGGCCCACTTCACCAGCCTGTCCAGGTCCCTGTGGATGGCTTCCCTTCCTTCCAATGTATCAACTGCACTGCTCAGCTTGGTGCCATTTGCAAACTTGCTGAGGGTGCACTTGATGCCATCATCTATGCCACTGATTAAAATGCTGAAGAATACCGGTCCCAAGACTGATCCTTGGGGGCACCATTCATGACTGGCCTCCACCCAGACACAGAAGCATTGATCACAACCCTTTGGTTGCAAACAGCCAACCAGTTCTTAATCCATCAAACAGTCCATCCTTCAAATCCATTCATCTCCAATTTAGAGAGAAAGATGTGGTGAGGGACCATGTCAAAGCCTTTACAGAAGTTCAGGTAGATGACATCCACCACCATTCTCCCATTCACCAATGCTATAACTCCATCATAGAAGGCCATCAGATTGGTCAGGCAAGATCTTCCCTTAGTGAAGCCATGCTGGCCATCTTGTATCACTGGATGTGCCTTAACATGGTAACCATGAGGATCTGCTCCATGATCTTCCCAGGCACAGAGGTGAGGCTCACCAGGCTGTAGATCCCTGGGTCTTCCTTTCTCTCTTTCTAAATAATGGGAGTAACATGATTTTTCAAATATGCTGGAGAGTGGCTCAGCAACCACATCAGCCACTTCTCTCAGAACCCTCGGATGCATTTCTGGCCCCATGGATTTATATACATTCAGTTTCATAAGGAGGTTCCACTGTTGGGATGGAGTCTGCTCCTCTGACCCACACCTAGGGCTTCAGGGTCCTGGCAAACATGGGGAGCCTGATCACCAGTGAAGACTGAGGGAAAGCACTTATTGAGCACCTCAGTTTTTTCCATGTCTGAGGAAGCCAGTTCTCCATCCTCATTTATCAGAGGGGGAACACTCTCCTTGGTCTGTCTCCTCCAGTTTACGTAGGACCCCTTTGTGTTACTTTTCACATCCCTTGCCAAGTTCAGCTCCATCCATGCCTTGGCTTTCCTGATCTTATCTCTCTATACATGCAGACAACATCCCTATATTCCTCCCAGACTACACAGCCTTGCTTCTACTCGTAGTACATTCCTCTGTTTTCCCCCAGTTTAAGCTGCAGGTCCTTGCTCAGCCATGCCAGTTGCCTGCCTGCTCTGCTCGACTTCTTCTGCATGTGGAGGAAGTGGAAGGAAGTGGAGCAAGAACACCATCAAGGCATTTCCAAGCTATGCTAAACGCTAAAAGAACTAGAAGACAGTTCAAAAACTTCCAAAGGAGAAGGCTACAATTCCTGAAACATTCTGTTTTCTCCTTAGAAAACACACATCAGTGATGAAAATGCAAACCTATTTGACAGGGTTTTCATTTGTTGCACAGTTCTCACTATTCTCAGCTTTTAGGCATAAATCTTGAGCTGCGCACCTCCTAGAAACTAAGCATCCAGCCATAACAGCAACTCCCACCTACTGCAATCAGCTTAATATATACAGACAATGAATGCAGTTCTAGCATACCTTTAATTTGCAGCAGCATTAACTTCTTGTATGGCACAGCACTGTTGTTAGAATTTTGCTCTGTTAGGTTAACACTCCGCAGACTAACGTTGCTGAAGTTCTCCTTGCTTGCCAAACCAGCAAGTGCTACTTCTGAGAAATTTGAGTTTGCAGACACTTGTATGTTAAAAAACAAACAAAACAAAACAAAGTTGGATAAAAAACACATGCAAATGAAGATAAATTATATTCAAATAACTTCAATTATTGCATTAAAAAAATGTTTCCTCAAATGTTTGCGATTTTCCCTTCCTCAACAGAACAGCAAAAGCAGGCTGAACTTAGATTAATTGCTACCCTAAAAGCTTTGTGGGTTCACTAGTACCTAAGTTTCTAGATATCATCACAGACTAACCAATTTGCATTGGAATTATAAACTTCAGTAGACACACCAGTGTTAGTAGTATCTGGTATGTTATGAAGTATTGTGTAGATCCTCAATGCCATAAGCATGATTAATTATGAAAGAGACCCAAGTAGTCAACGCTAATGAACTGAAATTCACTTCAGATTCGTCTCAGCCGGTGTGATACAACAGCAATCTGCATTTCAAAGTCCTATTCATTTTTTATTGTACAGTTCAAGCCTTAAATGCTTTGCTGCTTTTGCTTATTTCTCTACCAAAGACAAAGCAATGTATGAATTTATAATTCATGGAAATGCTTCCCATCAAATGCAATAAAATATTAGACACACAATTAGTCTTTCATCAATACTTAAGAGATAACCTCCCTTTATTCAAACATAATAAAGAAAAACTTATACCCCAAATGTTAGAAGTGGCTTGACTAACGTTTGAGCAAATTTTAGAGTGATTTGTGTTGCTGTCAAGTCTGGTTATCAGGAGAAAGCATCGTCATAAGCAAAAAACAAAGCCCTGCTACAGAGCACAGATTCTTTATAGAAATTAACCTGGCTAGTTTCAGGTTGAGAAAAACCAAGGACTCAAAACTGAGGCTAGTACTCCTAAACATTTACCTATTTTTCCCAGCTCCCTCCAGCCCCTGTAGCATATTGCTAGATTTGCTTTGCTTAATCTCCTGTCCTTACCTGCAAGTACAACTGCTCTACCTCTGCACAAGGTGAGTGCTAACAATAAATAAATACACAGAGGAAGAGGCTGCAGGTAGCGTTCCCTGAAGAAGTCAAGTGAACTCTTTTTTCCAAGCCTCCTCGGCCAATCTACGTTCAGTCTTATACCTTAACCAATCTGTTGTCTTTTGGAGAATATATTCTATTCTTTCAGTTGTGGTTTTTGCTTTTTGTTTAGTTTTGGTTTTATTTAAATTAGCAAGACAGTGGCTTCCACAAACCACCTTAACTTACTTTTTTCTACTTTCATTCGCTTTGACTCCATGAAGGCAACATTCAGTCTTTGTTCAGTGTACTCATGAAGAATATCTTCTCTTGCTGCCAGCATTTTCAGGGGGTTTCTGGAGGACTGAACCCTGCGCATAGGCCTCACTGCACGTTTGTGCTCTGCTACAGAGGATATTAACCTGAAAAAAAACAAGCAGCGTTTAAAATTATCAGTTGATAATTGATAAATTGTAAGAGTTTAATGACAAGAGATTTGCTTGATTTGGGGTATGACATTTGTGAGGAAACCAGAATTAGTTCACTGATCCAGGCAGAAGGCTGGATTTAGAAAAGTGTAGTAGAAACAGACATGCCCAGTATAACACTGTCTACAAGATAACTTAAAGCCGAACATTTCGACCACCATTCCTATTTCTGCATTACAAGCAGTGAAAAGAGTAATTCTTACTTTGGTGCATAAGGATCAAAGATGGCATCAAAGTCCTCATCAAGGTCCAAAGGCACTGAGGAGGAAGGGAAATCCACATGGCGGTAAAATTTGGAAAATGTTTCATCATCATCCAACTTCATCACTTCTTTCACAGATTTTCCTGTAACTGTCAGCACTGTCTCTTGCATTCCAGCAACTGTAGGAAAAAAAAAAAAACAAAAAAAACCCAGCCCATCCAATAAATAATCACGCTAGATTCTAACTCAATAAGAGGTAAATATGACTTGCTGTGGTTTTAGTTTGGTTCTCATTGACTGAATGGAATTTGAAGGAAACACAATAGAAGTGTCTCTTGGAAAATAAATGACTAAAAAGGAGCATACCTGTTACTCATATACAATAATCCCCGTTAAAAAATGGTTGGGAAATATGGCCAAAACAAAATTAGGCACTATTAAAAATGAGTTATTTTGGTAGGATACGTGCATTTTATGGTCTTGTATATTCTGTCCTGCCTCCAACCAAATAACTTCTTCCCTTCCAAAGATCTGCTGGAGCCGCAAGTATAAAATCACTTCTTGAGATTATTGAGTCAAAAGCAATCATTCCACTGTGCTACTGCTCTGCTGATGGAATGTGAATACATTTATTTTTGCTATTTGAGACTCTACCACTTACAAAAGAATTTTTGTCTTTACAACACTGAAGACTAATATATGAGATGGAAACAGTCAGAGAGCTGTACATAGCTTCCTGTATGGCCAACCTGTACAGAAAGCTTGTGTTCAAAAAAGTAGGAAAGTGAATAACTGTGCTTGAGCACAGTTCAAATAAGATCAGTAAGTTCAACAACATTAAAGTTGTCTCTTTGCATACCTTCAGTATGGTCCAGGATGAGCTGAGCACATGGATTTAAAGAATTTTGCTCACAACAAGAATGTGTACATCATGTGTGGAGGAATAATATAGGGTGGTTTTTGGTTTGCTATTTTTTTTTTTTCAGTTGTGATTTATTTTGCTGTATATATGTAACGTAACATTGTAAGTACTAGAAGTCCTTTAAGTGATTTAGTGAAGTCAGAATGAACACATTGCCTTCTTTGGTAACTACTGACCTTTGTTATTCAGCCTTCCCAAGAACGACTCCAGCTTGTCAAGCTTCATATCTGATTCCAATTGCATATCAGGCCTAGCTTCAATTTCTAAGCAAAACAGAAAGCAGAACTTGTTTAGTGATAGGAAGTTTAAAAAAAAAAAGAAATCCTGGACTTGTTTCAGCCATGTCTATTCCTTACCTTCCAAAGGCTTTGTAACTGGAGTGGTAGACTTCTGCCTGTTACCATAAGGGGATGCTACTGGTGTTAGTGCACTTGGAGAAGCTAGACCTGCAGAAGAACAGAGAATATCAAAAACACCATCCCATGTTATTCCACATCTCCAACAGTGATGACAGGAGGTGAGCTATTTAGGGAAAGCAGATGGGCCTTGCCATTTCCTATGGTCCCTCATCCTACTGCAGCCTCCACAACTGCTGTATCAGGGATGTCGGAGCGCGCTCTTTTGAAGCGTCACTTGGTTTACATTTTAGACTCAAGTTCTACTTCAGGCTATGTGTGAGAAATACAAAACTTCTTTTGCTCGAAAGATACAGAAATAGCAGTGAAACCTTCCAGACCTTGGTGTGGTGTCTCCTGTCCCCTTTTTAATCAAAACCCAGTCTTAACAGATCTAGCAGAATGCATCTGACTTGAATACAGTCTGTAGATCAAACAGTAATTTTTGGGCATGGTTGTTTTATGTGTATGATTGAGGGGTTTTTTTTGTGTTGTTGTTTTTAAGTGGAAATGGATGCCCTCACCATGTAAAGCAATGTACCCACTGAATTTGCACTGTCCTCCTTTCTTTTCAGAAATTATCATGAAACAATTTATTTCAGACTCAGAAGAAAAAAATGAATGCTTTGTTCTTTTGATATGAATCCACTGACGCAGTAAAAGAAATGGCACACTATCAATTTAGTGTTTTTGATTAGGTGGAAAAGCATATTGTATCAAATAATTCTGTCTATTAACCATTGCTGCCTAGATTTTCAGTGATGGAGAGAAATGCTACTTTAAGCCTTCCTCTAATGCCTATTTTTCACAATTACAGAGCCACATAAATTTCAATCCTTAGTTGTTTTGATCAGATAAACCAGCGCTGTACTGAGAGAATATACACTATGTTTTCACTGCCTTTAATTCAAATCCTAACAAGTCTTAACTGCTAAAACCAAGATAGATTTATTATATAACGCAGTAGCTTTTCCACAAACACTGTTTTTCCCTTCTGCCTAAGAGATTCAATTTTTCAGCAAGTCAGTTTGTAATGCCTTCAGCAAGACATAGGACACAGTCCTTAAGCAGTTCTAACAAGACTTAATCCACAGGACTACAAGATCTACTTCATGTGTTAGTCAAGATTCCAAATTCCAATTAAAGAATTTAAAATTTCAAGCTGTAAGAATCAATTAAAATACAGCATCTGTGCACAAGTATATAACAAGTATCTAATTTTGCAGTGCTTTCTCATCATCCCTTAAATTAAAAACCCATCATGATAATTTCTTCTTCTTGGCAACAAAAATAGCACACATCTGCATAAAATCTCATTTGGGCTACTTTTATTGATGTCACTGTCACAGGAATGCCTTTTTTCTCCACAAGACAGATCACAGCACCTAAAGAGATGCTTTCTGGGTATTTATCACTTCCCATTAAGGGTAAACGTTATCATCTTCTTTTCCTTTCCAAAGACCAATTTATTTTTTTTTTTAAACTAAAATAAAATCTCAGCCAGCAGTCTGTGGGCAACTGACCACTTTTTCTCAGTGACCCACCAAAAAATAGGTTAGTCTTGAAACAAACGGCAGTCAATTATCAAAGCAAAACAATGTAAGCAGCAGCTAAAATACTCTGCTAATAAATGAAATTCCTAATACAATCTGTTTGTTTGCCAACAAAATATGGTCTGGATTGCAAATGGAGTTGTTCCCTCTCGCAGTACTGCCTCCACCACAAATTTTGCCAGCTTCTTGTCACAGATTTTAGTATTCTCTGACTACAAGAGATCAGTTTAGGCACCTTCTTCCAAAACTATCACCTTCCCAGACCCAGTGCATGAACAGCTGCATTTCTACCATGGATAACCCTCACATATTTCTTTCCACTTCTGGAGAATTGATGCATCTGGAAAAAGAGTCTAGCTGAATTCAAGAGATCCCAAAAATGTCAGTATTGCTCCCATGTCATTTCTACTCCCAAATTCTATGCAAAAATATGTTCACTGATTTCTTCAGTCAAGTTGTTGTCCAAAACAGCAATCATAAAAAATAACATGTGTTTCCTACATATTCCCAGTGACCCTCAGAGTGGGAAAAGAGCCAGCAACACCAAGATTTCACAACTTTTGCACAGAAATGGCACCTGGGTTTTTAAACAATAAATAAGAAAGGATAATCCAACCGTGCCCTTTGGATTGCATCAGACAGAAAAGATGAAGCACATGAATGTTGAAGTGATGGATGATCACCAGTCAGACAGATCCCCGTTATAACTGGATGGTAGTGCAACAGGGCAGAACAAAACGGATCAGTACTGAGAGCAACAAGAAGCTCAAGAGAATGACCTTACGACACCATATTCAGTTGAATATAAGCAGTCCTCCTCTTGCTAAACATGGATACTGTTTCTGCTTAACCTTAGCCTGACTTTATTTTGACTAGACAGATAAGTAGTGGCTTGTTTATATTGGGATCATTTCATCACTGACCTTTTTTTACCATTCGACCAGCTACAGTGAACTGCGTGGAGTCATTCGCTGCGCCTTTTCCCCTGGACTTCCAGGCTTCTTCTCGAGCTGTGATCAGGTGTTTTCTTTCTTCTATAGTCATTTGAGTCTCCTGATTATCTGCTATCCTCTGCTTTTTCGGGGGGCAGAGAGAAAAAGGATGTTTAAAAATAAGTGAACCGATCAGGATATAGAAAAAGACTGGGTCCCCTGCCTTCTGCAGAGACAGGAGGACTAACAAGCTACTGAAGGGAAGTCACATATTCAGCTTAGTGACCCTGGCCCTGACAAGCCTCACTGTTTCACTGCTTCGTTACACTGAGAAGATAAGGTTTCAATCTATACATTCTGACTTTTTATTGAAACTACCAGCCAAGGCAAAGGCATCCTCATAAGCAAAACAAACCACTTACTGTGGATATTCTTCCAGATCTTTTTCTCTTCAAATGTTACTTGCTACACTACTGAGATCATGAATTGAACTTTCAGCAGACGTTTTCAAGTGTAAATTTGCAGGGGGCGCTGGGAATAACAATTAAGAAAATATAACCTCAGTAGTTCATCATGTCTGAAGAAGTAACTCAATTTTCCAGGCAGGATTAGCAGTCTTATCGCTCCAGAGGCTGCTCATTGTAGGCTCTGTCAGCTTGCCCCTTTCAGTATTCTTCCAATGACTGGATCGTTCTATCTCCTGCCATCCCCCAACTTATTTTGTGGAGGTCACCTTTAGCTTTCCTTGCCTTCTTTAGAGAGTAGCTCCCAACAGCTTGAGTAACTGAAAGTAGCCAAGAGCACTAAGCATCTTAGTGGCTTCCTAATACAAAGGACAGATGAAGGCACATTGAATTGGAAGGAATTTACATAATCAGCTATAGCCAGGTTTGGCTAAAGAAATATTGCTTCAATGCACTAAGCTTAAAAATATAGCAACATTTCAGGATTATTCTGCATGGAAATCAAGTATGAAAGTTTTTTTTAGTGCATGGGGCTGTCAGTACTGGAATTACTTCCAAGTTGTGTGCTCTTTGACATTTTTCTTCACAAGTTAACTTAAGAACTGAAAATCACATGAAAATTAAAAGCCAGTGCTTTAGCACAGCACACACTTCTAACTACAAAGAATTTTAAATTAATAGTAATCCAAAAGCTTGTGAATATGAGGTAAGCTCTCTTCATGGGGTCAAGATGCAAGGAAGGGATATAAACCTAGTTGATCTTATTTATTTTCTTTAAATCAACAGCACTGAAGAAATCAGTCGAGGGTTACTACTCTGCATAGAACTATGTAAGAACTATTCTGACTACAGGAGATGCAGTGAAATAAGATTTCAGCATGTACTATTAATAACATGTATCAGTCAGAAGAATAAAGACAAGTGCAATGGTTGTACAAGGACTAGCACGGGCAAACTCTCCAGTCCTTCCTTTTAGATCCATGCAACTCCGCAGCCTTCTGCAGTAATGTTTGCTCCCAATTTATCAAGGGAACACAATCACACTACAACTGCAGAGTCACGATAACCAGAGTAAAACACCTCCAAATTGTTCCATAGTAATAACAAAATGGAAGTCTACTCAAGTATTTCCTCCTCTTCCATAAAAGCCTCTAAATACTTTCAACAGAAACAGTGAAAGCAATGTCTACTTGCTTTCCTGAATCTTTTCCCATTCCAATGCTGGAAGCACAGCCACCTATGGGATGAGCAGCTAGTAAAAGAAAATGACAGTAACACACTACCAAAGATCTGAGCAGGAAATTAATATATCCCGAATGAAACGACAAGTGAAATTTCATACACAAAACAAGTACTTTTCACTTAGCAAATATGAATAAGTTTTAGATTACAGCATGTGGGGAAGCAAGGAAGACAAGAAGATGTAATCACATGGATTCTTTTACATGTTGGGTTTTTCCCCAGCCTCTAACAATAGGAGGCTTAATTTTAATTTCATCTCCAGAGAATACATTAAGTTTCAAAGTGTGCAGAGCCACTGGACATTCTGAAGGCACAAACCCAGAATGCATTTTCATTAATCACTGCACACACAAACTGTAAGAAAGATCATGACCAACTCTAGAGCAGTGTCAAAGAACAAAAGAGCACGTAGCTCCAACAGCATAAACAAACTTTCTTTCAATATAAGATTTCACATTATTCCTTCGGGCAAAACATCCCTGGATTTCCTATAAGTCAGACGGGTTGTGTACTACACAGGCTTCAGAGTAATTTCGTGTCAGGACTCTCCCTAATGCAAAAAGACTCCCATCTTCCTTTATTAATGAACCGAAAAGCAATGCTAAGCTGAATAGACAGTAAGCCATACCTAGGCCATGTACCTTCTCATAATGGTGCTGATGAAAATCAAAAGCATATGCGGTGCCTAAAAGGACAAACAATTTTCTCCAGCTGGAAAACTAGTATAAGCCAACAGAATTGTCCATAGAAATTTCATAACATGCACACATGGTAATTAGTAGCAGTTTAAAAAGCTTTCACAATTGCCAAAGGGCAGCATTCCCAAAGAAGTGAGTTGGCTAAACCACATTCTGCCTGGGGGGAAAATATTGTGAGAAATACAAAACTTGTCAGTCTTTAAAGTGCAAGTTTTAGTTCCAAGTGGAGAAATAAATAACTACATGAAGATATAAAATAAAGATCTCAAATGCATAAATGTGACCTTTTGGTAAAATAAAGAGCCCGTTCTAATTTGTACTGAAAGATACATCTCTGTTTTCATTGATGTCTCTTCTTTCAGACAAATGACAAAACCCTAAAATCAAGTGAAAATACAAAAAAGGTCAGAACTGGCATCCAACAAGAAATAAGTGGGACAGGAGATGCTCCAAGCATAAGTCCCCATTTTTTCTAATTTAAAAAATAAAATTCAAACAAACAACCAAATTAAATAAAATTTAAACAATAAAATTGTCCAACCAAAATGGACAATAGATAGCATTGATAAAACCTTACATGGGGACAACATTTAGAAGAAAGCAGAACTGAAGCACATAAGCACAGGCCACATAAGCTATGTTTTGTTCCAGACAATCATGGCAAGATTGCTGTAAGACAATCAATAAAGAATCACAACACAGTTGCATAATTAATGCCATTCCACATGGCATTATGGAAAACAGGCTTAATCAAAATGGTAAGTTTGATGAGATCAAGTATGATTAAATATGTTAACAGTTACTTCTGATTTCTTTAATATATTTGACTTAATCACAGATGACATTCTGAGCTTTTTTTGGGGCGCTATAAAAATGCAGCTCACTAGTTAACTGACAGAAAAAAATATTCTGAACAGAAAACAGCCACGCAGCAATCTGTATCACCCCAACCTGTCTGAGATTATTTCATGCAGGTGGAAAAAAAGCCCGCAGTTCTGCCGAGAACCAGCTCAGGAAAACACCAACACACAGAGAGAAGAGAGGGGTGGGTAATCATGAAAAAGAAGTAATCACATACATTTTTAAACAGGCTATAAGAAAAAAAAAAACTGGAAAATCAGGCTTCTAAGAGCAATACCTGTTGAAAAGAGAATCAATTAAAAAAAAAAAAAGGGGGGGGGGGAAAAACAGGGCAATTAGAAATACAGAAAAAGAGAAGAAAAAATTCCCATGGAACACTAGTTCTGAACAGATAACTAACTGAAAAAGGCATGACATACACAGGTAGCTAAGAGCTGGTATAATCTGCTATTACTTGTATAAACAAGAAGCTGAGGAGAGGAGGAAGATGGTGATATTGGAATCGTTATTGAAATAGCTCATCCATTTCTAGCATCTACATGTCTATCCGGGACATTGACAGCTTTGGAAGCTTTTCTTGCCCACTGCTTGTGAGGCTAGCTGATGATACTACATGCTAGTCTCTTCTAGAAGGCAACACGTTTCTTGAGAGCATGCACTGGCACTCCACTGCACTTGTAGCACCAATTTGGGCTAAGGAAGGGATCTAGGCAATGTTCTGTTTTGTATCCCATGATTTTGTAGTCTAAGTAGCACCACCTTAGGTCACAGTGTCACAGTTCAAAGTGGTCTGAAGTGGCCTGTGAGCCTGCTTTTTTTCCTTTACTTTAAAAAGCCTTTTCTTTTCTTTTTTCTTTCTTTTTTTTTTTTTTTAAAATATGCAAGAAATACATGAATTTACAGTTTTCTATGTTGAGGACCATGATGGCCCCTAGCTGTAGGAGTCTAAAACCAAGAATGGATGCTAAAAATTGATTTTTCAAAGTGAGGGTCCACTTAAACCCAGTGTCATGAACTATTTAAAGAGGTATTCCAAAAAGTATCTGCTTTACAACACAGATAATTTCTCCAGTTTAGGGGCAACTGTTCCTCTTTTAGGGTAGCTGAGATGAGCAGCCATTGAAGGACCTCCTCTCTCCCCTGATGACTGCAGGGATATCAGGGTTATTAAGTTAGGAGATAAATTTACGTACTCAATATATAGAGTGAGTGAACTCTCACAACAGAATGAATAGGTTGTCTCAAGTCAAACAGTAATAAAATTGTAGTGAGTCTAAAACTTAAAGAGAGGAGACAAACCCAGTGATTTTCAGTTGATAGCGCCAAACCTACTTTTTAATTAAAAAGTTCAGAGTAGAAGATAATCCTCAGAAACTGGCCTGAAAGTGAACTTGGGAATGGTACATGTCAGTAGCAAAATATTTTAACATAGTTACAGTAATCTCTACCATAATCATAATCCTCTGCTGTAGCAGTGAACCACCATCCTATGCATTCATTCCATTACTCATGCAAGCCAGAATGCTCCTGACACATCCTATGTGCTGTGTTCAGAGGGGAATGGAGAACACAGTGCACGGCTTGTAGAACTACAGCCACACATCTGGGAGGTAAGGCAATAAAGCAGAAGTAGGCTTGCAGATGTATCATGACCTATCTTGATAGACCTATCAAGACTTTCCACTCAGTTCTCCTTGTTTTCTTGTGTTCAGCTTGTTTCTTTGCCCACTCCTGCCTTTACTGTTTTCACCTCTAATTGCATGACACAAGTGCTGTTTGCTCAAATAGAGATCTGGTATTCTACTTCGGCTCAAAGACAACTTCATAAGGTAGTTCTAATTGAATAAAGCAGGTTGTTTCACAATTCTTGTTATCTATTAATTCTAAGTAAAGTAAATTCTTCCCATCATTTCTGATGAGCTTGCAAAGATGTATGCATGATTTTGCCTTAAACTTCACATGAAGTTTTACTGTTTACTGTTGCAGCAGCAGATGTCTATTCCCAAGCAAAAGCAGTTAACTCTGTTACCACAAGTTGCTTTGGGAACACGCATCTTAGATCTGAATGTAATTTTCTGTCTTACTTCTCACTTTGTTAATTTATTAGGAAGTTTGTACAGCATTTCACCTTCAATCTCCAAGGATGCCGTTCAGCAGAGAGCTTGATTCTTTCAAGCTAGTACTACAGACCTTAAGAAAGAGAGAAAAGCAAGGAGATGGGACAGTCAGAGAATAGAGGCAGTATGTGCCAAGGCAAAAATCCTTCAGATATGGAATAGGAAAAGAAAAGCATTAGAAGTCACCTCTAAACAGAAGCAGCTTGCTCTGCACAGTTAATGAATTAGACTATTCAGACTTTCACAGTTGTATATGTACATTTCTCACAGAGAAGACAGGGCACATGGCATTTTATTCTGAAATAAATGTTGTATAGTTGCATGCTGTTCATTTTCTATGTTTGTGTGGTTTTTTTATAAACAAGTGACAAGTTTTCTGTATTGTAATTAATGCAATAGCACCTCCTTCATTTCATTTCTTATTCATGTAGTCTAACAGATAATGAACTTTTAGGAAACTAGTCACAAGGGAAACAATAGCAGAATGTGTCAGTAGCAGACATACTGAGGAAGGTTACACACTGCAGTGGTACAATGCTATGTTTCTTTAAAGCAGCCTTTGTTAAGTTGGTTAATCAACTAAGAGGACTGTTAAATCCCTATATTAAAAAAAAAAAAAAGTCAGAATGAGTCTAATGGACATTGTTGAGCATTTGAACTGTGCACTTTTGCTCACCTGATTAATAGGTAGAAAAGGATGAAATTTATGGACAGCAGGTATAACAGGAGAGTAAGTAGAAGCATATACAGGTTCCTATGACAAGGACAGAAGCAAAGTGAAGGAATTAGAGAAGAACTGAACTGCCAGAGATGGGGATGGGGGAAAAGCACTCCTCTTCCCCCAAGTTCTTGAAGTAAATTAAATCTCAATCTTTAATCTTCTAGAAGCTTCTTCCCTACCGGAAAGCTAGAGATCAAAAGATGCTTTCATGATACAACAACATGTTTACCAAAGCCAATCCATGCAAGAATTAAACAAGTTAGTAAAAACATCACTACAACTCAACACAGAACTGAACAGCACAGCCAGGAGATAAAAATGACCTATGTATGAAAAGTGTATGTCTCTGTTTCATGCACCATTAAATGATAAACCAAATCAACCATGATGGAAATCATTCTGCTGCAAGTTTAATCATACCCTATTAAATAACAAGCCACTTACTTTGAGGATAGAGGAAGGAATACTTAGTGAAACTAAGATACTCAAAAACCATCTGGAGGGAACTGCTAAGCCCATGGCACCTAGCAAAGGTGCGTTCACTATTCCAAGCAAAGCCTACAAATAAGCCTTGCCTGAGAGCTGGTCTTACTCAAAGCTGATTAGGCACAGCTTTACCATCAATAATTATTCTTCCTTTCAGTAGGCTAAAGCAAATACAGAACAGTGCACAGAACGCAGGCAATCGTAGCTCATTAGAGTGGCCTGAAATGAAGCCTAACCACAAGAGCCTCAGTTTTGATTAGCACTGTATGCAAGTACTTGGAAGCCACATCTGAAATAGACAAAACTATTACCACAGTAGGAGACCAATGGTTTGTCTAAAGGTTGATTTTTAGCAGCCCACCCCTGTAAGATTTTTATACCCCTTATCTGTTCAGTCCCAGCCTTCAGCACCAGTACCAAGTTGCAATATGAGCTTGCCAAAAGAATTAAGTTCATTGAAATATCATTCACTGCTTTAATGTTACTGCAATGCAGCTGGTAATCACATTAATCAGGGTCTCCAATAAAGCCAGCCGACAACAGAACAGGAATTTTCATTCCAGTAAACCTCACTGTTTTGGTACTAAGGAGAGATTTCAAAGTTTGTCAATTTTTCTATACAGAGAAAAAAAAAAGAAGTCTTCCACCAACTTAAGAAGAGGAATACAAACGTAAAATCCAAAATTTTTTTTTCCAAATAAAATGCATTCCTTTCCTCACACTATGACACTCCATTGCCTACAGTTCTTCTGATGTTAGAGTTATTCTTTAAATTCTGCAAGGATGTTTTATTGTACATTTAAGTCATTTATGAAGTCTCACAGCTTCCAAGAAGTCTTCCTCAAATATGCAGCAATCATCAAAACAAGATGCTAGATCTCCATGTAAATCTCAACTGTTTTTTCTTAAATCTGTCTGAATTAAAAACTTATTCTTTTATTTCCTACATTATATTGCTGTCAGCTTTTCCATTAATTTCATGGCTTTTCTAAGTTTAGTCTTCATAGAAATGACTGTAACACCTTTAGAGAAGTATCTCAACATGTAGACTAGTGTGCAGAAGCATTTTGACTAACACTTCTTAGTGCAACTATTTTATTGAAATGAATCTTCCAACTTTTATTGATTAGAAGTAATCTAAAAGTACTCTAACACTTCTATTTTAAATAGCTATGCTTCAGTAATCAAACCCCTAGAACAAGTTGAATCACTTTTCTAAGGACAAAAAAAAAAAAAATCTAAAAAGGTGTACTTTGCTATGTTAACAAGAGTTACTTAACACAATTAGAAAAACTTCAGGCATTATTGTGAACCAGCAAGCTGTGACAGAAGCATACACACCCCTGTGAGAAATGCATGGCTGTGATTTGTGGAAGGTGTACTTCAACTAACTCAAAACACAGTAGTCAATTCAATATCTGCATTTTTATCATAAATTCAGCAACAGAAAGCAGTAAGTACATTGTAGTCTCAAAGCTCTTCTACAAATGAGAGACTTCAGTGGCATGTTGCCTCATGGTCCTCACAGAGCAACTGCACCACACTGAAGAATTATAGATAATATTTCCAGATTTGAGCTCATCTGACAGCAATGTGTTACAACCACTGTGGTCAGCTTGGACAAAGCTCTACATTATTTGTCATGTATATAATAAATCAGCATCACAAATATAAATATTGCTGTGTGTCTGATCAGACCTTTATTCTTACACAGTCAAGATTTCACTGATATTTTGGCAGAACTGCAAATGCTTGGGTTTAGTCTCCATATAGCTGAGAGCTAACATGAACCCAACAAACACAGTGGGTGACCTTATGTCACAGAAGCTTCCACTGCTAGCACTACCACATCAAAGCTCACACCCTTCAAGCACTTCATGCTCTTTTATTTGCTTCAAAAGCCTAACTTGTGCTATGCTGAATGAAGCTGCTAACACAGCAGGGAGGATATGGGTGCTGGAGAGCAAGAAAAAAGAAAGAACAAAGGTTTTGTCTCAGCCTAAATCTTGGCAGCTGTTTAAAGCTTTTTCTCTGCCCCATTGTCTTTAGACTGAGTACATCTGTAATCTGATCTCAACAGTTGTCATTTTGGCTGTTAAAAATGAGACCACAGTTTTGCTTTCCTCAGTCAAACTGTTCGTGCTTTAGGACATCTTCAAACTAGCAACCTATTTTTTTCAGCAAGCCCAATCTGCAAAGATCAGTTTTCTTGCCTTTCTGTACAGTTAACTAACACACGACCACCAAAGAGCTCAGGTGCAGAGTAATCCTTAATGACAGACTGTAACAACTCCTTACTGGTCACATACTGATGAAATAATGAGACATTCTGTTATTGTATGCTTACTTCTAATCTTAATAGATAATCTTAATAGATATCTTAATAGATATGGTATTTCACAACTAAATAATTAGATCCAAGGAGGGCTGTTCCCTGTGGTAAAATTGGTTTTACAAATCTTGTCTGTAGAAATATTCCTTCAAAAATCAGAGGCTTTTGGAAACAGCTATTTTATCTTAACGACAGTGTCATTTTCTAAAATATTATTAGTTTGAATTGGGATTCCATTCTTGAAGTAAATCTCTCATTAATCGTCTTTCTTTCTTTCTTTTCTTTTTTTTTTTTCCTGTGCTTTGGATCATGTTGCAGAATGAACAGATGTTTGGATGAAACTAAGCCCTGAAGCATACTCCTGGGCTCCCATTTAACACCACAGCTGCTAACAGGCAGTCATGCCACAGGAACAGACTGAATCTAAAACCCATCAAGTAAGTATGGCATAGATATCTGGTCCTCATCAGTAATTTTTATGCTTTACAGATCCACTCCTTATGGCCAACACAACCAAAAAGACGTTGCTACAGCGTGCTAATGTTGTGAACTTACCTTTCCTCCACACCCTTCTACCATCTCCTACTCTATTCACTGACAAGACAAAGTCCTTGTCCAAGAGGTTCTGGCTATCTACAAACAAAAAGATCACCAAAGGCAACCAAAGGCTGAATGAATGATGCAGGAATGCTTGGTGTCAGCACTTCCTTAGTGTTTCTATGATTGAACATTATTGCTCAATTAAAAAAAAAAAAAAAGTATATGGATAGAGACAACACAGCTTTAGCAATGTGAAATTCTTCCAAGCTCATCCACAAAGAAAACACTTGACCTTAAAGTCTTAAGTCATTTTCACATAGTTTGGTGCATGTGGCGGAAAACTTGTAAATATTCCAGAAGCCTTTGAAGCCCACTTACTTATTGCTTTCATGAAGACAGACATGAAGACATACTTGTTGAAAAAGCTCTCACACTGGGAGAATTGCTTTTTAAACAAGCCTGACAATGAGAGGAATAGCAGAAGCTAGTATCTACTATTAGGCATGCCTGTCTCATGGGATGCATTTTCAAAGCTGAAGCATTTCAAGCAAGATGTTTTTTTCCAAACAAGGTTTTCCAAACAGGGATAGAATTACCTTCTTCAACAGCTGTTCAACTTCTTGCATCTGTGCACTACGATCAGTGGCAGACATTTTTGCATACTCCTGCTTTTTACCGAGCCTGCTCTTCCAATCTTCTTCACCACTCTTCTTCAGCAATGCCAACCTAGAAGAAAAACCATGTAAAAAGATTAGCTTTAAATACTATACCTCCCATTATCCTTACAAGCTACCTCTATTGCCTCAGTAATGACACATTCAAGAAAATTCGAAATTAAGTTTTCTAATTGACTGCAGTTATTTACATTTCATACACATATACAAAGCTCACAAATGAACAACAAGCCTTTACTGAACAGGTCAAACAAAAAATATCTGACAAAACACAGACATCTAGATCTGAAAAAGGCACTCCAGTTAATTTGTATAGTCAGTGGAAACTGCCAATACAATCAAGAGAGGCCAGGGTACAATGCAGACTGTCCTGAAGTAAACATATACGCAGGTCAGATGAATCACTGCTGTTTTTCCTCTTCTTGTCGATAATGTACAGAGATTGACTAACTCAGCTATGGATGCTTATGCTGTAGATGACCAAAGTTAATGAGATGAATCCTATCACTGATATTTGTTGTACTCATTAAAAAAAGATTTAAAAATTTATTTTCTTTAAAACCCAAGAAGGAAGAAGTGTATTCAGCAGGCAGCTATCAATAAAGTCTCATCAGGCATGTGAAGTGATAACTTTGCAATCAGTGGTTGGACTAGAGTTCCGATGACTATCAGACTGCTAGTGAACAGTTAGCATCTTCTTGCTCATCTAAGGTATTGCTGTCATAAATCAGTAGTTAAAACACACTAACAACTTGGTGCTATTGTGCTACAGCTGTGAACACTGTCTGCAAGATTCAAGTGGTTTAAATGATGCCTTAAGCTTAAAATGTAGATTATCACTGATCTCAGATAAGCAGGATCTTGAAGAAAGGCTATTTTCTAATCTTAACCAACATTCTGAACGTAGCACAGAGGGACAGTGACTGTCCCCATGGGCAAGCAAATATGTTTGCTTTGCTGGATTAGAACTTGTTTGTCCATGCAAACCCCGAAGTGACTAGCTTTGAGCACAGGACAAGTCAGTTCACAATAGAAGGTCCACAAATACGTGAATCTTCAGCTTATTTCTCTCAGAAATTAAACGTTTGTATGAATTTTCTAGCTTTCAAAAATCATTCATAGCATTCCATAAAATGTATATTTTTAATACCTGTTCAAACAATTGCACTGTTCCACTAAGTCATTTTATTTCATTTTTTTTGCTACATAACTTTTTTAAATCTAAAGCATTCCTGCAAGAATTACACTAAGATCCTTAACCCTATTTGTATTTGGACAGTTCAGTAGGTTGGCAACCTGTTTCAATCACAGGAGGTGAAGATGTGTTTTCAGAGACGTGACTACTGTAACCACCATAGTAAGTATGTGAGGGTTGTCCCGAACCTACAAGGAGAAGGGAGGGTTAGGACTGAATAGGTCTAGCCAGAAGCCAAGTTTCAGTCAGTTGCTTCCTGCAGAAATCCAGGGAGTGTACCTGTGTGGACTACTGACCTCTTCAAGAACACCCAACTGGTCCTAAGGCAGTCAGCTGAGGAAAACTGAGGATTCAGAAGACAGTAAATCTACAGTGTACAATGGCAGTAAGAATGTTGGCATTCGATAAGGCAGTTATTTCCTCTGTTCCTGCCCAGGCAGGCAGTGCAGGCAGGCCTAACTGCCTGGCTGCTTCATACCTCACTGCACGGCATGAATAGGGGTGAAGAGGACTCACAATAAGGAGCTGAGACCATGGTCATTGCTTCCAGAATGTATACAAGATTTCACTGTCCAGAACTAATCTTCTAGAGTGCATCCATGCATACGTGAAACTACACAGGAGACCAAGTTCAGATGGAATTGCCATCACACTGTTGGTTCAATAGTTATGTTCTCTCAGGTCAGCTTTGCTTAGAAATGATCTTCAGTAACTGAAGCTGGAAGGCATTTTGATTAGCTCAGGCCTAAAATCAGTTTGTTTCTAAAAATGTCTATTAGCTGAACAGCACGGAAGGAAAGATTTCTCTTCCTGTGTTTTTTTTTAAACCAACATCACTGCAGCGTTTTTGCCCAAGACATTGCTCCAAACAGCTTGGCTGACCAGGAAGAGAAAATCTCCAATTCTAAGACTGTTTCTGAGTCTTTGGAGACTGCTCTCTTCTCTGTTGTAAGGATGGATTATTCACTTTCATCTTCCACTTGTACATGTAATGAAACAATGCATTCCTAGAGTAAGACTACATCTGTCTGACCCAAATGATGAAATCACTCTTAAAGAGACTGGTATGCCCAGCACGCCATTGAAAACTTCACTGCTGTGCAAAACCTAAAGCCGTGCATTTGTTATGAACCACAGAAAGTGCATTTAAATTCAGACCACTGTGACTCAGCAGCCATTGGAGGGCTTTTTTTTTTTTTTAAATAAAGATGCAAAAACTGCTGAATTAAATCACATAAGCAAGCCCAACAGATCAATAGCTTAACTCAAAAGGCAGATAGCAGTTGATTCTTTGGAAAGTCTGCAAAGAAAAAACAAAGACAGTTTTTGGTTCTAAGTCTCGGATCTGTTTAAGGTCTGTTTAAGGCTTACTAGGTTCATTGCATACATCTAGTTTTCCACCTTTAATAAAAAATTAATTTATTATTCACTTTTATCGATCTTTACATACTTCCTCCTTTTCATCCAAAAGATTCCAAAAGTTCCTTTTCCTATCTGAATTTTTACTCTGTTCTTGGAAGGAAAAGCTTTATTACATATTTGCCCATCTTTGCAGCTTGCTCTGCGTCTTTCATCCATTACTGAGACAGAATGATGCAGAGATGTCAGATTCAAAGCAAAACATTTCACATTTGAAGGCAAGGATTGGTACTGAAGGGAAATATGAGCAAGATTTGAACAATAATTTTGCCTAAACTAGGAATGTTATATGAAAGGCCTTGACAAAAGCCCACACAAAAAATGACTAAAAGAAAACAAAGATGCATCTTTTTTCTGTGGCAATATTTCAGTATCTGACTGAACTGGACACAAGTTTGGCTTCCACACACACTCCATTGGTTGCACTTGACCAGTACTTTCCATTGGCCATTCATAAATCCTAGAGGCCAATGTGAGTGAAGAAACTACAAAACGGAAGCTGATGGTCAAAGATTTCACAAATTCACTGCATATGTGAACTAGCCTACATAAGAAGCTAGCTGTGATATCCAAACATCAATGAAGGCTGAACATAAAGCCTAGTCTAGGCTTCCCTTGACAAAGACAGAATGAAAGCTGGAAGTCCACCAACTTCTTATCTGTGATTTTTGAAAATGGGGATCATGGCATATAGCTGACTTCTACAGAAGAGCAGACCAGGTGGCCTTCTAGCAACTTCAATCTCTGTAAATGTACAGATACAGGCTACATGCAACTGACATTATGTTCAAAGCCCTCCAAGACATTCCCCTCCCTGAAGGCCTCTCCCAGGCTTTTCATCTGGCTGAAGTCAAGGTGATTATAAAAGGGTTTCCAGTCTAACACAAAACACAGCCAAAACAACTGTAAGAGAGGAATCTCTGTTCCCTCTCACCTCTAAGTGGCACGTTGGCAGAACACATATTTTCTGTCTTGAAAAATCATAATTTTCCGTCTTCGACATAATATTGGTAATTTAAAAAATGCCAGGTATGCACTCACCCCGCAAGATAATACTACTTCAGTGAAATAAGTCTTTGAGGAAAATCACTTTCATCCAGATGAACAAGTATGCATCCTGCCCAAATATCATTACATCTGTGGAAAAGCTGTTCTTCCATAAGGTGAAAGAATGTCTGACACAGCCAGAAAAAAAATCAGTGGATAGGAAGATGAAGTTCATAAATGTAAAAAGAAAAAGAAAAAAAACAACAAAAAACCCCAGCAAAGAAAAAAACGACACCTAAAACAAAGTATAAAAGGTAATTTTTAGCAGAAATGCTCTTTGAGGTTTATGAATATTTGGCACCAGCTACGGACAAGCAAAAGAAAAAGTTACAGCCAGTCATTAATATTATTTTATTAATTCTGGGTCAAGAAGAAAACTACTGTGCTATTTTGGAAGGCTAAAATATTTTGATACCAGCTCTGTCATTTACAGACATTTGCAGAGTCAGAATAAAAACATTCCTGACAAGAAAGCAGGTATTTTATGGTGTCAACTCTGGGATTAAGTAGACAGCCACAAAGGCTTAACAAAAGCAATTTCAAATTGTGAGTGTGATTGACAGTCTGACAGGAACATCAGTTCCTCGTGAGACCAACTCTACTGAAGCATTAAATTTAGGACCAAAACAGCTGCTAACACATGGACAGTCCCCCTCCTTCCAATCTTTGTCTCCCCATCATGCTCAGAGAAAACAAATCACTTACTACCCCAAAATCAGAAGTTACTGGACTTAAATCTTATCTGACCAGACAAACAACATATTTACAAAAGGATGGGGGGAGGGAAAGGTTGCATTAAAATGACCAAATAAAAACCCAGTGAACTGAAGTTGGTAAGTAAATAATTCAGAAAGGGATCCAAGACTGTACAACTGTTCTAGTTGCCCTGCTCTCCACTTTCTGTTAAAGGGATAAAAGGGAGTAGGGATGCTAAAAATGAGGATGACTCACACACCTAGAAATACATGAAGCAAGCTTTGGAATCCTTCCTAATATCTCACTCACAAAGTGATGGACTATTTTGACACAGTGAAAGTTAAGAAGCTACTTTGTTGCACTGGTTCTACTTTCACTGTACAAAAGCTGAAGGATAAGGCTATTTGTCAACTCGATGCAAACCACCATAACTTCACTCACTGGACTGCTACTGGAATCCTTTCATACTCCACGATTGAGCTTATACTCTCAAAGTTTCAACTGAATTAGAATGAGTTTCATAAGTGCTACATGCAGCTACTGTAGTTCCAGCTAGAACTATAAGCACACAGAAATTATCGTTTAATTTCAGATTATTATGGTCTTAGGTTGGAAAAAACATTTCTAATACTCCTACAAACCTGTGAAGCTCATCATCCTTAAAAATCTCTGAGCAAATCTCAGAAGTCAAAATGGAAACTATGTATTTCTGAAGTGGGAAAAATCACAAAGTTATCCCTGATTTCCTGTACTCAGCTTACTAAGAGACCATTTCCATTAAGCAACAAAAAACCACACATTTAAAAAAAAAAACACCCTGTAACTACTTTAACTGAAGAACCTGAGGAAGCATGTTGAGTATATCAGCATAAATGTAACTAGAATATGAATTTTTACTGCTTTCATTTTCTGATCTTCTTATTGATCATTCGGGTGGCTCTTTCAAAATCAGATTATCATGATCTCCCAAACAGGAATTCTCATTCATCATCTACCTTACAGGTGTGTCAAGCAGATTAGCTGCATATTCCTACTGTTAACTTTTGACATCTAATACAGCCCTATAATCACTGCTTAGCTTTCTGACAAACGGGTTTAAACCTTCTTTCTTATATCACTCTAATAACTTTATTAATAGAGTTAAAAAAAAAAAAAAAAAAAAGTGAAATTCAAGTACCTTTCCTTAATTGACATTGTTTTGCTGGAACTATCAAGGGCATCCTCAGTTGCCTGCATTTTGTTCTCTCCAGCAGAAAACATCTCACAGGAATTCTTGTAGATTTTCCCCTCCAGTTGTTCAGACAGCTCCTGTAGCCTGCAGGATGCCACAGCTGCACTCTGTGAAAGCGTCCTCGTTGCTGGTGTGCTGGTGAGTTCAGAAGTAGGCTCAACATGGTCTGCCCAGTCAAAAGAAAAGTGCTGAATTACACTTAGCACTATTCTCAGACCTTTTTTAAAAATTACTAACACTGAAGCAGCAGATCTGCTTTTTGATATTCAAATCACATGCTGTCCTAACAGAGAAAAAAATTTCTGTCTGAGCTAGCATAGAAAGATCAATTGTTCAGTATTATCTGCTGCATAGACTGGTCCCTTCTGACTGAAGTTCACATGAAGCTGCAGAGTATCACGTTCAGTACTCAACTCTGAACTTCATACAGCTGAGGCACAAACTGCTGCTCCTGTCATCATGCCAACAGGAGGAAAAAAAAGCAGACAGATGAAAGAGAGAGGGGAACAAAGAGCAGGAAAAAGAAAGGAAAATTTAATGAATTTAATACATAGGTAAAGCATTTTAATGTATAGGTAGCACACTAGGAGAATATTTAATAATTTAATGGAGATCTTGTTTTCTAGGAAGATCTTAGGGACATATTTTCCTGAGCTGCAACTCAACCACAGGAAAAACTGCCCTGAGAAAAAAAATAAAAGCATGTTATCTTCATTTTTCTTTCTGAAATTCTGCAAACACAACATTCCCTGTTAAAGGTCTGCTCCTGTTCTATCCATTCTGTCTCCCCAGGAGTCAGAGAAATTTAATTAGGATGGCCACTGATGTGAGGAATACAAGCAGAACCATATCTTTCTCCGTACATCAGTTTGGAGACCATTTACATTTAAAATAAATTAACTTCATAGGTCAATTGCAAAACTGTTTCCAGCACCACAGAGCACTCTTGACCTGTACCCCAATCTAGTAAAAAAGAAAACTGCTCTGAGAATGACTTGATTTACATTTTGTCACAACACTGATAGGAAAATAATGCTTCAAAAAGCATAGGAAAACCACTGCTTCAAAAGCCCACAACTAGCTACTATGTACATATGCAGTTAATATGAAGACAATGGCTCAGAGCAGTTTGCAGCAGACACTTGACTCAGTGCAGCTAGTTCAGTGTGTTTGGGGTTTCGGAGGACAAGGACCAGGGCAATGGAGGAAAGAATATATCTTAACTTCACCATATGCTACCATTTCTTTCAAGGTAACAAAACATCAGTAAAAATGAGCCATCTCTAAGGCCTGAAGTGTTATAAGAACAACTAAAAAAACTGCACTTCCAAAACTTAAAGGCCGAGAAGTACATGCGACATATTAACTACTGCTTTCACTAGTTTAAGCAACATTAAAAAATAAAAACAAAATAGTCTCGATAACACTTGAAAAGAAGAAGTTGTAAAACAGAAACACTGCTCTTTGCTGAACCAAACGACACCAACAACGAGTACATATCCTGCACCTCTGTGCAAAGTCTTGCTTTTCACACCACTTTTCAAATCCATTTCTTCTCCAAAGGAGTGGCTTTCTGTGACTTCCCATTTACCTTGCATGATGGTATCAATTTCCTTCCTTTCAAGAGGCTGAAAAAGTGGTTGTGAACTAAACAGTTCCATGCTGCCCTTCCTCAGGAAGCTGTAGGCTGCTTCTTTATGGTAGTCTCCTGTTTTTTCAAGAACAGGATGTGTGGTTTCATCCTCAAAGGAGCTATACTTTCTAATTTCATTAGCCTCATGTGCTAGAAACCTCTTTCCCTCTTCATCATGCTTCTTTGATGCTCTTTTGCTTTCTAGCACTTCCATTGAGGGCTGCCACTGATCTGACTTTTGTGTGCGTTTTCCTGATGAGTCTGGACTTTCCGCTGAAGTGTGGAATCTCAAATCATCTTTTGTGGCAGCACTCACACTTCCATCACTACGTGGCTTCGCATGCACGTCTCCAGCAAACAGTGCAGAAAGGGCAGAAGCCATTGCTGAAACTGATGTTGAAACTGTACTTGACAGGGGAGTAAGTTTTCCACTTTCATTTTGAACCTATGAACAAAAAAATAACAGAAATAAAAAACAATCTGAGAAATCCAAAATTGCCCATTTCCAAGAAAAGTCAAAATCATCCATTCCCCCAAAAAAGTGTGTCACGTTAAGTTCCTCAGAGCAGAAGGCGTGCTTCCATATGAATGTACTGCTCTACAAAAAGACAAGGAGAGCAACAATGCCCCCATAATTTGTCTGCAAACAGGTGATTCCACCCAGGGTAAAAACGACTGCACATGAACAGCAGCATCATTAGCAGTATATGCATAGCATGCAATACGACATGTCAGAGCTCCATGAAAAGATTTGTACTGACCTGGTGCTGCACAGCACTGGGAAAAGAAATTAGTTCAGGTTCCAGACGCCGGATGACATGCCATGTGCCCAGGCTAATCAACTCTGTGTCTCAGCAGGGCTAATTAGCTTTGGCACAGCTCTGCTCTGATACGGTCATGCAGCTTTCAGCTCTGGAGCCAGCACAGCACCAGAAAGAGCATTCTGTGCTGACAGTGGGCACACATTTCTGACACTTTTGCTACAAAATCACCTTCACAGAGGAATGTTAGTCTGAGACTTTTGGATACCAAACATTTGCTGTCCCATACATCTCTGAGCAAAATATTAAAAAAACTCCCAATTTGCTTTGGTGGCCTCTGCAGTACATTTTCTACACAAATACAATACTTTTTCTGAAGTTTTTCTAGGCAATTGAGATGAGAGTTTTCCCTGAAATGCAGAGCTTGGCATTTTCTTCTCTGAAGAGGACAAACGCAGTGAGAGTATTTGAATGCCTTCAAACAAATCAGGAGATGGCTTTTGTTCGACTTATTTGATGTTTTCTTAAACTGCAGGGCTAGTGAACAGCATGCAAAAGGAGTTGACAAAAATCACACCATCAGGAGACAAACAACTGAGAACTTAAAACGCACATGCAAATTCCACGAAGTGTGGACTATACACTCATAAACACATCACAAAGCAGAGCAAAGACTACTACACTAGCTCAAAGATTCAAAAAAACCCCAAAACATTAATAAAATAGTTACCGGTTTACTCTTTTTCCACTGCATCTATCAGAATCAGAAATGTAGAGGAGATCAGCAAAGAGATTTCAGCTTTAATTACAAGATATTTATTTACATTTGCAATTACCTATTTTGTGAATGAAACCTCCACTTGCCTATTTTGTCACTGTATTTATATTTCTTCCTAAAAAAGCTGTAGGAAGCTGTACTGTCTCTCCAAACTCCAAATGCACAGCATGCTACATGAAGACTTTTTGCCAACACATTCTCACTGCACTCTGATTCAGAGACAAGCCTGGTTTCTTTTCCTTGGTTCAGAAAGAGATGACAAAACAAGCTTCCTCTGCGTTTCCTTGCCTGATATCTAAGTTCATCTGTAAAAGCTTGACAACCTGAACTGATTGTCACTGGATTCTTTCTTGTCTGCTTCAGTGCAGTTCTGTTGATCGCATTCCTGGCCCCCAAACATGTTAATAACACAATCATAGAGGAGTCCAGGCTGTGACAGTAGTTAGCATTAGAAAATGAATGCAAACAGTACTCTGTAATGCCTGGAAATCATTATGTATACATGCCAAATATTTACTACGGCTTCAAGCCTAAGAAAATTAGGCATAATATACAGTTACAGTCATACAGCTTTGCACCAATATGGTTAAAGAATTCTACCTTCTCACAATTCTATTATTATATGGAAAAATGTATAAAAATGAATGAGAATATGGAAGGAGAAGCATAGGAACTTTCTCACACTCATACTGATCCAAATTTGTAGAAGCAGAACATGCAAAGCTGTTGTCCCTAAGGAATGGATTTTTCTGTTGTGAACATCAGCTCTGAAATACTGGCCAGTCTGTTCTCAAACATCACTAAAAATATATTCCTTTCCAGTTTCGAAGAATTCTGGAAGGGGAAGCCCAATTCCACTCCACAAATTAAATCACTTCATTTTGACTGGAAATTTCTAAATGTCAGAAGTATTCTGCTTTGGGGGGAAAAAAATAAAAATTAGAATCAATCCCCTTTCCTGAAAGAAAATGACAGAGTAGAGCCCTAATGATGGAAATAAATAATGACTTCAGGAAAGGATTTGAAAGATGCACATCATAGACTTCAACAACGAGATGTGTCACAGCTTTCAGCCGTTTGGTCAGGAGTTTACTTTCAGAAGGCATACAGCATTGCACAGGAAAAGACAGATGCTATGCAAGGTACAGCATGCACTCATCAGGAAAATGACCTACTCTTAAAGTACTAAAAAAAGAAAACCGTATCAATGAACTCAAACATTTTGGAGGATGCTGTTCCTCTATGTCTGCTTCTTGACAAGTTTTTTCCTGTGAATATGTCATGACCCCTGCGTGTAGCTTGGAGCAAAGAAAAGGCCAGCTGTCATGGCATCTTACGCAGAAGCTGTTTTGTCTGATGAAAAGACACAAACAAAAAACAGCCAAGATTGCACTTACCTGCTCAACTTCTCCAAGAGTGACTGGCTGGGTCTGGTAACGAGCATTCATCCTCCTGTGCCTAATATCTCCTCGACTCCTTGTGGATATAGCCCTGGATACTGGCTGAGACAGTTTGTTAAACAAAGCCATCTTTTCTGCCAAGCTTAATGTAGAAGAATCTGGTTCATCGGATTGATCTTGCCCCACTGCCTCTTTGGCTGCTCTTATCTCCTCTTTAGCTAATATTTTTTGGTGTGCTGATGCCTGCAAGCTGAAGAAACAGAACTGGAAATGAGTTTTAAAGATGCTATTGCAAAGTTTTAAAATCTTAACCTGAGAGAAGCAGAAGAACTTGCATATGAAGCATAATAGCCAATGTAATATAGCAGCCTAAGTGATTATGCAGTGGTTCAACATTGGCACGAAGGGTTCCAATTAAACAGCTGAAGATTTAAAGAAATGTTAATTTTTCAATCACAAATTCATTTGATTATGATACCACAATTTTTGGGAAGGGAAACTCAAGGTGAAGACAGGCTTTTGAGACCTATCGATTTATACATAATACAGATCGATGGAGAGACATTTAAGATGCTGCTGTAGAACAAACACTTGTCCTACACTATAATTTATATAAAATTCAGCTTCATTAGAAATAATTTGTGGAGCACATTTTATAAAACATGTAGAAGATGGATTTAAACTCCAAGTTAGGGTGGCTTTTAGGTTAGCATAAATTGTAATCTCTCTTTCGATTTGAAGGAGAATAGAATTCATGTTTATTTTTTGTTTGAGTTATATAGGGTGACTCAGTAATAAAAAATAATTTTGCAATTTACTCCATTGATTTTTAAGATTGTATGACCAATGCTGAAGGCAGACACATTCATCCATAAAAGCTGTAACTGCATTTGTCTCTACAATAACATTTTATTCACCTCTAGCTAAATTCAGCCACATTTAAGGAATTAGTACATATATTTTCTGTTGTGCTCTTTGCTGAAATGCTCTTGTTCAGAACAGGCAAACAGTATTCTACAACGTTACCTATAGGTGGTGCAATTTCTTATCTTTCCTTAAATTTTGCAAGCTAAAAAATATATGTAGAGACAGACAAAGAGGGTATGTCCTGCTTGTGAAGTCAAGCACCCAGCTCCGGTTTTTCATGTCAGGATGACATTATTGTATAAAAACATAACAGAGCGAAGAGGCTTCTGCCAGGTCTGCTCACATGCAATTTCATGTCTTTCACATATAAGAATAGGTGAGTGTGGTTAGAAAGATCCTAAAAACAGATGCTTGACAAAAAAAGCTGCAACGTTTCATCATGCAAACATAAATGAATTTGAGAAGTGTTTTAGATATTCTTGACAAGAGTTTTCACTTGACACATTGAAAAAGGCATTCAAGACTTTAAAGATGCATCTGCTATTGAGGAATCTTGTGCTCCATGTAACATGCATGTTTATCCCCCCCAGTACCTGGTAGGTTGTACAGTGCTCTTAACTACAGTGGGACTAGGTAATCTTGTCACTACTGTGTGGGTATTCACAGAACGTGAAGCAGGGGTAGTTTCACTTTAAAGAATTGCGAAGGAAGGAAAATTCACAGGGAGAGAGAAGAAAAAAGCATTAAGAAAAGCAATACATTAAGTGTTAACTACAGAAAAGACCAAAAACAAAACAAAACAGAAAAAAAAACAGCAATGATTTTTAATTAACAGAGTTACCTGCTATGAACTTTGCAAAACAACATCAAATACTTTGGAAGAACTAAAAGCTTAGAGGAGCAAACAGGTTGTCTCTTGAAGTTGCTGTTACCCGTAATGTTATCTTTCAGCAGATCATTAGATGGATGTCCATTTGCCTTTTTTTTTTTTCCTATTTTTCCCCCCAAAAATATTTTCCTTCTTTTAGGAAGGCTTCATGATGTCCAAGCAGAGTGCAAAAAATGTTTTCAAGATGTACACTTGAAATTCCAGACTCTAAAAGGTTTACTCCAATACAAACACATTACATGAGAAATTGTGCAGACTTCCCTCAGTGCAAAATATCCTTTTCATTTCAGTTACAAACCAGTGCTATGAATAATCCCTTTTTCCTAATCCACAGCTTCATAAAACTGCTAAATTACAGTTCATGCAGTTGATACTTTACTATTCCCTCTATTTCAAAAAGAGAATTTCCATATAGATTCCCCTGTGGTTCTCAAGATAGTTGGCCCTTAAGAAAACACATTCTTTGTGCTACGAAGTTATAAACACCACATATATGGAACTTATTCCCAGATTTAAAAGCAGGAACCAAGGTTAGAGCCAACACATGCACAAGACTTACGTAGCTGCAATGACCACTTCCTCACTGGTAATTGGCTGTGTGTGTGATCTGTCCTGCAAACGCCGCATTCTTCTCTCTACTGCTGAGCTTCTCGTAGGTGGTTTAGGAATATTCTTCATTTCGAAAGATTTTTCCATTTCCTTAGAGGACAAATGTCATAATTCAAACTGTGTAAGAAAAGTTCTAAACACTACTTTCTTTTCAGCCTTCTTGGTTGCAAAGTATTAATTTCGCTGATTGTCCACCTCTGAATTAGAAGCAGGCTACGAGCACATAGTAGGCATCACGTGGTTAAAATTAACTACACATCTCTTTAAATAATGTTCTTAAAGAAGGCTTTAAAGCAACAGGTCTGCTGTGTAAAGTAAATGAGATGAAGTTAAAAAAAAGTACATACTTGGACTTGGTTAAGTGCATTACACTTCATTCTTATTAACTTAGTGACCATCAGCATCTTGAATATGAAATGTTCAGCCACCTTCTGCATCTTGAACATGAAATGTTTACCTCCATTTTCTATTAAGAAAGTTTAATACTTACTCTAAAAAGCAGCCTCTTTGCAGCTACACTTAGTTTGGCTCGGTCATCTAATTTTTCTTCATCTACAGAAAGTAAATAAGAAAAAGCTCATATTAAAGTAAAGTTTTTCTGACTAAGAGATTTCTGAACTCGCCCTAAATGATGTTTAACTAATGAAAAAACGTCAGAAGTCAAAAGATGACTGCACTCTCTTTCAGTTGAAGATTTATCGTGAAGAAAATCGTATAAAGTTCTACTTGTATTTACATGGATAGCATCAGAGAAAAATTCTGAACAGGATTTCTAGAGCAAAAGAATTTTCTGCATTGCAGCTCATGTACTTTCAGGTTAACTAGAGAAACTTTTATGAATGATCATATATGCTATGGTAGTCTCTGATAGCACACAGACTAAGAAAACATTTAAACTAAGAGACAGACCACTCTCTTAAGGCTCATTATTCATTGTGCTGCACAAAGCATCTATTTTTTCTTAGTCAGCCAGACATGCTGCTCTGCTCTTTCTGATTACCACCTTGTTTCTCCATTTTTCAGAGGTTCAGCTGGTATCCTGAGGAGCTGAAATCAGCATCCTCCAGATCCAACAGACAGCATCTCAAAGCTGCAAGTATCAGCTTTCAAATAGCACAAGGCATTACATCTAAATTTAGCTACTCATGAGATTAGCTTCTTAATTTGTGCCAGACTTGCTGTGAGCGACAAGAGGAAAATAGAGGCAAGATGGCAGACAATTATGTAATTTAATAACCAGCATCTTCCAATATTTTTAGCTAGAAAATACCAATATGATCTTCCCATTATAATAAAGGCTTTTTGTTATTAGACTTAGAACACTGCTCAAAACAAGCTTTTTTTTGTCCAGCCAGATAAATGTAATTATGTTGAAAAAGCAAACCATTGCCATCCTCTCCCCCCCATATATACTTAAATATCTGCAGACTTTCAAGCTTAAAATCAAATCTGCAGCAGACATGGCCCAAGGAAAATATATATATTAAATATATATAGTTACTGATGCTTATTTTCAGATGGACTTATTTTTTGCATAATCAAACACCACTTCAGTAAAGAAAGCACATTCATTCCCATTTCTTCCTTTGAAAATAGCATAGTGACGTACCGTCAGCAGTTGGTATTTCTGCACACAAAACAGACCTAGTGAAATATAAACAGAAACAAGTTAGCTTGAAAGAAGACATCAAAGATTAGATTCAAATTCCATCTGAAGCAGCAAGACCTCAAAATTCTTAAGAATAGAGAAACCATGCCTATCTTTCAAGGTCCAACAACTTTCAACTAATTCCTCTTATAACATCCTTTAATAAAACAGAAAGGCAAGCAACCATATCCAAACTTTACTAAAGTAAAAATACTAAAGTGTAAGGAAAATTATTTCCTGTTTATCTCACAGAAGACTAAGGCCTAAGATTTGCTGCCTGGTCTATTAACATCAAATATGTAGATTTGATTGCTCACAATCAGTGAAACAGAGTAGGATGGACTCTCTATTCTATATAACTCTTTTATGACAACAAACAAAATCATTTATCATCAGACAGAACCAGACAGGTGCAATACTTCACAACTGACTGTTAACCGCTTCACGTACAGAGATTTGATCCTTGAGGTCCCTTCCAACCCTGGCCATTCTGTGATTCTGTGATTTGCAGCAAATTGCTTTCTGTCACTTTATTTTGTAAGAAACTTCACACCCAAGTCAATTGGAATTTATTCTATAACAAATGCTTGATCTTTTTTTTTTTTTCTTTTTTTTAAGAAGAATGATAACCTTTTAAAATATTGATGCTAACAAATGAACAAATTTTCTTGACAAGCTCATTCACATCTGCCTGCACCAGAACGCAACACAGAGCCACACACATGCCTACCTATCCATCTCCTTTCGTTCTGCTGATGTTATAGGTTGGGTTTTAAATCGCTCAGAAGTCTTTCTATTTTCACCAGGAGTGAAATAGCGCCTCGGCCTTCGTGGCCCTCTTTCACGGTCACCACCAGCAGGCAAAGCGCTGCCTGACGTTGACACCTCAAACCGAGATTCACTTTTAAACCACGCGATAGAAAGTGCATAGAAAAGAAAATAGAAGAGAGAAGTAAAGCATAGATGTAAGCATCTCAACAGTTCACCAGAGATCACTCTGCATGCTCCTCCGATAACATGCACAGATGGACACATTCCAGCTCCCCACACCACAACTCGCACTAGCAAGCAGAAGCACGGAAGCGGGATTCAAACCATCTCAGCCTCCAATACACAGTGGTGAGAGCTAAGCTGTGTGCTGTAAGTGCCGAACACAACTGATGTTGAATGTGTGTCATTTTGCCAAGGACGTGCAACTTTCACACGAAAATACGTCTGAAATGTCACCTACAGGTCCGTTTTCTTGCTGGCATGAGCAGTTTCCAGAAAGACATTACGGAGCTGGGCAACAGAGACCTTTGTGTCAACCATGCCAATCTCACCATTTGCTGCATTTGCTTCCATGCTCTTACTATGAAAAGCTTCTAGCTTAGGAGGCACAGTATAGTCAGACATTGAGCGAGTCAGGACTTTATGCTTTGACACCTTCCAAACAGGGCCTTTTGCCTGCGCTGGCTGCGATACAGACCCGCTCTGTATGTACATGACAGCTTCACTCCTCTCCATGTTCTCAGGTGTCTTCAGCTGCTGCTCAGGCACCTGCTTCTTTCTGCACTCCTGCTCCTGCTGAACATCTGAACCGACCTTCGGCTTGCTAGCAGATGGGCTCCCCACACCAGTATCCAGGTCTTCTCCTCCAAAGAGGCCTTCGTGGCCCTTCCCTTGTTTGCGAATCTCAGATGGCAAAATTGGCCTTCTGCCTTTGGAAGCCTGCTCGCCCTCTGGGGATTCTTCTTCGCCAGGCTTTGCTCCATAAGCCAGCGCCTCTTTCTTTTCACCCTCTGGTGCAGTGGCTGCTGCTGATTTTGTTAAGGGGCTGACACTGTCTGGAAGGAGGCGGCGGCCAACAAAGATGTTTTCTGGTTCTTCTGTTGCCATCAGCTGAGCTGTGTGTGCAACGCCAGCGGGCTGAATATAGCCATGTATTGGTTGGCGCACTGTGCTGACGGGCTGATTGAGAACCCTGTCAAAGGCAGATGCTTCTGTCTGAAGAGGCATGTAGTGGGCTGGCACTGGCTGGGATTTTCTCTGAGATACACTGTCTGTGACAGGTTCAGGGCTTCCACGCGCGCTTTCCTCTTTCACCAGTTTCTCTCTAACTTTTACTCTTTAAGAAAGAAAAAGGATTAAAGCTGTGAACTGCAATACCCAACAAGGGAAGGAACACAGACACCTACTGTGGTTAGACAGCAGTATCATATTAAAATAAAAAATAAATGGTATATATAAGGAAGGCACATTATAATGCAACCCTTTCTAGCCCCAAAGTATTAGAAGTGATATTGCTTAAAAATATTCAGGGAGATTCACAGGTTCTTAAACATGCATGGCTCCTGTGAAAACATTGTAAATGCAAGCCTCAAAGCCCTAGGTGAAACTCTGAGATGGCTACCACTGTTTGGAGGGCTTGAAGGGGATCAATAGAGAAAAAAGAGACAAATCTTGGTTTGAAAGAAAGTAATCCAGCTCGAAGTATGTGCAATTCCAGGCTTGCCACCATCATACTTTGGAATGTTTATGTTACTAAAAAAAAGTACTACTTCGGAAAAGGGAAAAATTTTGAGAGAATAATTCAGGATATCCAAAGTTATCCAAAACATTAACCTTTCTTGTGGTTCTTTTTTTTCTCCCCAAGAACTGGTGCTCTTGTTAGTGAAACTTCTCAAGTTTACTCAAACACAAAGTTTATTCAGTCTGATAAAGTGATTCTTTAAACTATAATGCATGTATCAAGAATATCCACAATGATGTTAGTACTGGGTTATAAGAATTATTCTAACTAGGAATGCAGAAAAGAGTCTTCCTGCAGTGCATAGCATGGTGGGCTAAAAGTATGTGTTACTGAATGGGAGGAAGCAGCTGCTTGTAGCTCTGATCAAAAGCTCGATATATTTTTCAGTATTAAATTTTTACTTTCCTCACACCATCATCTTTGGAATTCAATGAATTAATTGTAAGGAAGGCTAACATGGATTGGATTGAGGTGGAAAAATCTGTTGGTTTGTAGAGTGCAAAATGAGATAAAATAAGTAGTTATAAAAAATTAGGGAAGCTGGTATGAGAACAGTTGTGGAAAAAGTGAGGGGCATTTATATTTCTTCAACAGAATATCAATTGGTCACAAGTCACAATAAAAGCAGATGCTTCAGGAAAGTTTAAACAGCTGCTTATCTGCAAGGAACAATACTTTGTAACTCACTGCTGTTAAGGGAAAATAAAGGGCAAATGTTAAATCATGACAGCGTAAAGGGGAAAAAGGGGAGTTTCACAGTCCACTTGTTAGCCACACAGCTCTGTGATACCTGGAGGGCCAGCTGATAAGAGATGGTGTGTCCCCTTCTGAATCTTTCTGAAGGAACCATTCAGGTTTTGCTTTCCCTGCACTACTACAGAAAACAGAACTTCAGGTAGTTTTGGAGAAGGTTGCAATGCATGCTCAACTTCAGCTCCCACTCTTCCCTCCCCCATCTTCATATCAAAACCTTTTCATTTTTTAAAAAAGATGTGATTACTTTGTTACTGAAAATGGTTAAGGAAAAGGAAAGTACAGCACATTAATAAAAATACAAGGTGACAACCTGTGAAACAGACCATCACATTTCCACAAATGACTACATTGCCTTCTGAGCACTGCTTTGTTGTTTGTTTTTTGCAAAGGTTTGCCAAGTGTATGCTGTTCAGAATTTGAGAAGTAAAAGCCACTGTGCTGTTTCATTTTTGCCACTGCAGCTTTGAAGGGTATATGTAAGGATATCCCAACAGCTTGTTGAAATTGTTCCTTCAGTGGTAAAAGCCTGTTGCAGCCTGCTGGTTCCAAAATTAGAAACTCAGGTGGCATATTGTACTTCCTAAGAAACTCTGGGGCAGCAGGAATCCTCCTCTCTCCCAGTGCTCCAATACAGCAGCTTCAGAGAGCCAACCCTGCAAGCTCTCAGAGCCACCAGGTGAGGTGTGCTGTGTAACTGCATGATTGGAAACAAAAAGGAGCAGGAAAAGCAATCCCTGACTTACTTCTGCCTCTGTGTTGTAGTTAAAGGCATATAAAGACAAAAAACCTTGCAAACTTACAAGCCCTACAGGAAACAGTGTTTGCAGGCTACCTCCCTAGTTTCCCCAAGCACTTGCTCACTTCAATGCACAACGATCAGCAAGAAGAGATCACAAGGGAATTTCTGGGCACACTGGTGCTTACTCCCAGAGGGTGACAACACAGGCTGCTTTCCATTCTGATCAGGTGGGTTTGAAAGAACTCCTCACCTTACATTACAGTCATTTGGGATTAGAAATCCCACCAAGCTCCAGGTCTTCTGCTTCAATTTTTATCTAGTCATTTAATAAGAACAGTTGGAAAAGGACAAATAAAAGATGGTTCTTAAGATAAATTTACTTGCAGTAATACACTGGCAAAGCTGAGAACTCACCGACAGCTGTCACCTCATCCAAATCTAGCTTAGAACAAAGCCGAACACCAACTGCTGAAATAACTTTTGCGTTCTCTTTCCACACGTTTCTGAATTCCTAGAGGAACTGACCAACGAGGAGGCATTCATGCGAGCCTTAACAGGAGCAGACTGGTAGCTGAAATTGCTCTGAAGAAACTAAACTTCCCTCTTGTCTCCTGATATGTACTTTGGCTCATTTTATAGTGGGCAGGGCACAAACAACATTTATTTGTACTTGATCATTCATCCTTTGAAGAGGGCTGTCAGAAGAATGGAAGTCATATTTTGAATGTGAAGTTAATCAGCAACTTCAGCAGCAGAATATATACAATGTCAAACAATACCTTCTCAGCACTTTGTTGTCCTCTCAATGATGGATTATAGGATTGCTCATCAATACACTTAAGACTAAAGGCACAGAGCTTCCATATTTACCCCAAACTAAGCTGAATTTATTTTCTAGTTTGAACTCAGCAAACTAAAATTTAACAAAACATAGTTTAACAACATATATGATGGAAAGCTGCTCTCAGACCAGCACTGATCTGGAAACTGGGATTTAGACATTATTTTATTTGAGCAAATCTCTGGAACTATTCCTACATCAGATTCCACATGAAAATGGATTTTACTACTTTATAATCTGGAAACAGATAACAACCAAGTTCTTAAAAAACAAGAAGATCTTACAGTTGGAGCCTGCCTCCAGTCATTGCCAAAGACAACTGACCCATGGTGTTACACACAGCATTAGATCTCAGAGTAACATACAACTTCTAACAAATGAAGAAGTATGTCTACCTTGAAGACTGTTTCCTTTGTTATTTCTCTTCAGCCCAAATTCTGCAGGACCTTTTATCACAGAAATAGCTAATGGCTGAAGTGGCAGATTTAAAGTGAAGCAGCTGGAACATATTGACTTGATATGCCTTCATCCTACTCAGCCTCAGTTTGTGGCTGTTTTATACGCATAAACTGGAATAGCACACTTGTTAGCTCTGATTCCTTTAAGACAGATTTTGGTAAACTATTTTCATGAGAACCACTCCTTGATCTTGAAAAAGCAGAATTTAAAAATGAAAAGAACTTTATAAGAAGGCTGGACTTGTCCACATAGAAAGCTCATCTTTGAACAAGCCCACAAGGAGCTCTATTTAACAAGAGCTGCTTTGCCAGAACAACTGCAGCCCTCCCAGTGCTGCATGTAGCCTGCCTAATCTTGAGCTGGAGGAGAAAATTTTCTAGAAAGCATTTCAGTGTCTCATTGGCTCCCCTTGCAGAAAAACAGACTGTGGTTGCTTTAAGAAAATAAAGTTCCTTTTACACTGCAGCTGACACATTCTTGGCTATGAAGTGTGATATGCTATTCTCTTTACTTTTCCAAGGTTGAAAACTTGATCCCTTCCTTCACCTTATAAAGCAAAGAAAATAACTTACAAAATTGAGGATGAACCTGCCAAATTACTTCCTTCCAATTGCTCAGTATCCCTTCCTATCAGTAATTGGATTAGCCAAGAGATGTATCTTAAATTGACCATCTGCAGCAAAGGGATAATATTTTGTAGCATTTGAGTTGAGACTGCTTCAGAGACCTGTGGAGTTTGGAATAACCTACTCAGCTCAAAGCTTCAGTGCAATTCTCTTCTTGATTCTATGGGTGACCTTATGATGATTGCTTTCCTTACTCTGGTAGCAGAATTGTAAAATTACATCAAATCACAGTAACTTCCCTAGCATGCTACCTTTTTTTATAAATGACAATATTCCTTTAAAATCTAATGTGAATTGGAGGAGTCCAGTGATAGTGCCTACACCCATCTATCCATGCAGAAGAAGGTGAGCAGGATTAGAAGTCAAGTGTATAATGAAAGGAGATATAAAAAAAAAAAATCAAACAAAAAACAACTAAATACTATCACTAGTGTTTCCTATTCAATAAAGTGAACAAAAAAAAAAAAGAAAGTAAAACTACCTTCCAGCAGGTTTCAGGCAGTGTACACAGGTGACGTGATCAACCCAAAAGGTTGTTAACCCTTGATATTGAAGATTGAGTCACCATTCAAACTCCAAGGTACAGTTATGCAAGTTAGTAAGTAAGGCTGTAACCACTTAACCACTTCTACATAAGAATCAAGTTTTGTGATTTTGATGGAAATGATACAGAAATCCAGTCAAGGTACCTTCTTTCTCTACTCATTGATTCCATGGTTACAAAGGCCAAATTTTTCAGCTTAAGCAATTCACCTGCTTAGAAACAGTCAGCAAGGCTTTACAATGAGCAAGTGTCTAGAGTGCAGTTCTCACTCTAATTTCCAACATTTTTAACTGCAGCATTCTAACATAACTTCTGCTTAAAAGTTCTGATTTTTCATATAAGCATCTACCTAGAAATTAAAGAATCAACCCTGGAGAAAATCATACTATTTAAAAATTCTTATTCACTTGTTTTCAGTTGCCATGACACCTTGATAGACTGTTTTTAAATCACATTGTGAAACTATGATGTGGAATTTGTGAAAAATACTTTTTTTCCTGTTGGAAAAATCTGGTAATCCTTTTTATACATTAGATTTGTCAAATCTGAAGTAATTCAGCATATCAAGAGGGAGGCTGTGCTCTCCCAGTTCATCATGGAATTTTTACTGCCTCTCTGCCCCTTCATACATACCCTGATACTATCTGAGCTATCAGCTATCACAGTTCAAAAGGGGTTTTACATTTTCACAGCAGGAATACAAATCAACTATCCTTACAGCTAACCCAAGACACTTTTCAGCTTTTAACTCTGAGGCCTATTTTATCTTGGCAGAAGCTGTCACAAAGCTATTTAAATCTTCCCTGATAAACAATTTGCTTGGAAACTGCATCCAAACAATTACAGGATATAGAGGGAAAAAGTTAAAGGCTTGCTCTAACAGGTAATAATAAAAAAGCAGATTTAAAACCATATCTACTCTTGTTTCTAGTTTGTATAAATAAAGACATTTAACAAAACATCAGTTATTCCACTCCCCAGGAGGAGCATAAATTCTGCAAGTATAAAGGTAAACCAAGAACGTATCTAATCACAGAAATACAGATATCCACACAGTTGCATCACAAACACGTCACAATTCATGAAACCCAACCAACCCAATTGGCAAGTGGGCTGGTAAGGGGGATGAGGGATACAGCATATCTCCTATGTTGTGCAGCCTAGAGAAAATCAGGTTTTGACAAGACCTGATAGCTGCCTTCCAGTAACTAAAGGGAGCCAACAGGAAAGCTACAAGAGGGAGGGACTTGGATTAGACATTAGGAAGAAATTCTTTATGCAGAGGGTGATCAAGCATTGAAACTCTTAGAAGCAGTGAATACCTCATCCCTGGAGGTGTTACAGGCCAGTCTAGATGGGGCTGTGGGCAAACTGATCTGATGGCTGAATAAGTTACCCATGAAGTTACAAGCAAACTGTATGAACAAACAAAAAAATCCTTTTACCTTTGTCTGATGTTACTGTGCAAGGGCTGGTCATTCTGCAGATGGATTGGTGAGGCTGCCCGCTTCGGTGAAGAAAGAGACTCTCGGGGGGTTTGCTTTGGTGATATTGGCACTTCATTACAGGAGGAAGACTCTCGTCCAGAAAGTGTAAGTGAGACAGAACTATCCAGTGTTGCTGAAGGGTCAGAAGCCTGTCTAATGGCACTCTCATCATCTGCTCTTTTATCACTCTTTTCATTTGAAAGCTCTTCTTTAGCTGGAATACCATCTTTTTCACGGCTAGAGTACTCCCTGGATTCAGAAATCACACTCTTTGACTCCTTCACCTCAGTCCTGGACAAATACAAGGAGCCAGAATCCTTGTTTTCATCATCATGCCTTTCACTTCTCAATCCCTTTCTATCCACACTGTCAGGATCTCTTCTTGCCCGGGAATATCTGGATGAGTAGTCAGAATCCAAATCAGAATCAAGAGATAATCCATACTTTTCTGCCAGCTGGCGCCGTCTCTCTGCTTTGTACCTAGCTATTCTTTCTGCTTTAGACTCTAGTTCATGGGTATCCATGTTTCCTGTACTGTACAAAGACTCTGTATTTCCTCCTGTGGTTTCTGTGCGGTATCTGGATGATCTGGGTTGTTTCCCTACAGAAGAATCTGAAGTTTCCTCCTCTTCATTTGATCTTCCTGTCAAAAGTACAACACATATGGACCAATGCATCCAAAACTCCACCAAGTACTCTAGCCCACCTACTCTGAATGGTGGGCTTTCCATCTTCTTACAAATCAAAATGTACTAGTGACTGCATAGACATACTACAGTTTTTCACTACAGTCTTCAAAGGGACATAAAAATGATTAAGAAGCTTACATTAATTGTAACCCTCCAAGAGTTTCCTATCAAATTATTATTATATCAAAAGCAGGTTAAAAAAAAAAATCCTAATCAAAGCTGTTCTACAAAACTCTTCTGTTACCGAGCATATGATGGGGTAGAAAACAAGAAGTAATTCACCAATGGAATATACTACTTACCTAAGTGATGACTGTATGGATCAGTTGCACGCATATACCTTGGTGTATCTTCTTCTAGTAAACGGTGTGTGACTGACCCCGGGCAGTTCTGTAGAAGCATAGGTTGCGTCTCATTTTCGATTCCCTCTAAGCGTCTAGCTATTCTCTCCTTTCTGAAAAAGATGCAAAACAACTGAAGTGAAATATCCTTGAAGATTTGAAGGGAGAGTTTCTAAGAGGAGGTAACAAAACAAGCTGTATGTTTTGTTTTACAGGCCAAAGACTTTTTCTTCTTTACCTTTTCATTTCCAAAAAATCTTGGTTGTTTGGTTCAAACAGTTTTCTTAATTCTGAAACTGAGACAACAAAAGATTATACAGTTTATAAGCTACTAAGTTTCAGAAACTCAAAGAAACTTTCTAAAATGCTTCAGAATAAGAAGGAACAGTCAAAACGTTAAGAGATTTCACATAATTTTTGTCTGGAAACAAGCATTTACTTTTTGTTTTCCTAGTTTACTAACTTGCTCTGTCAAAAGTGCATTAGGCCAACAGATGTAAACACCAAGGAGTTCTCCAAGTACTTCCAGGCTATGCTAATTTTTAAGATCCAGTGTAAACTACGCAAGTTATATGTTCATTAGCTTATGTGCTATATTAACTGCTTCAAAACCAGGCTGTGCAGAATTACTGTCTACACACTGTCTACGCAAGGGTTCGTGACCACGCTTAAAGAGAAAAAGTGTCCCTCCCTATTCCTTAGCTCCTCCGGCTACAAGTGGCTCAAGTTTGGAGATAACCTATACAAAACACCACATATTCTCAAAGTATTCCTGCATGGTTAATCACTTCACTAGCTCTCCCTTGTAGTTCTAACTGGACACATTCTCCTTCTCTTGCCCTAAACCTGTTTGGTGGTGTTATGTGCTAGCAGACAGCTGTCACAGATCACAAAATAGAGAACCAACGAGAGGCATGATAGATGAAGTAATCCCTATATATACACATGTATGTACACAGTTATCAGTACGGTCTGCAAACCACACTGGAGCAGTGAGTGCTACATAATCAAGTTGTGTACCATTTCTTACAAGCAAGAAGAGAAGCCACTTGGGCTGTCAATGGACACAGTAGATTGGAGGGATTGTGGATCTCACAAGTCCCCAAACTGTCATTGCCATGGCTAAGACATGGTGCTAAAAGCTTTGTGTATCTACTCTGAGATAATGTATCTCTAGCCTTCTGATCCTGTCCACACAGGAATCAAAAGCTGAAGCAAAATAAAATATTCAGCCTGTTAGTTCAGTCCAAGATTGCCATCAGAAACACCTCATGACTCAGGAGAATCTAGAAGACACTGTTCCACATCACTATAGAAGTGACTCCACCAGCTTTATTCCCTATTGGACTTCACAGATCTAGATATTTGTAAGTTAAATATTGTTGAAACACCACCCTTCTAAAGGTCAGGTGCACCTTCTCTCCTTTTCCTTCTTAACTATTAGAACTTGTGAGCAAATCTAAGTCAGCTGATGCATACCCCAGATGGTTTCTGTAGTCACTATGAGTGCTTGCACATCACATCACAGCTAGGAAAAGATAGATACTATTAACATTGGCTGTCATATCATGTTAACATGATGAAAATCCACCAGGACTCCAGGTAAAAGGCCTTTGACCAGGAAGACTGAATACAATCTCATTCTGCTACTCAGAGAGGCAAATGACTGAGGTACTGATATATTGTCTGAGGCTTAAGATGGAAGCCTACAGGAGTACAATACATAGGGGAAAAACGTCATCTGGGGCACTCTCTGAAAAAGCCCAAGTCTACGTTTTTACAGAATAGAGACTCAAACCATCAACTTAAATTTTTTGAGGCAGGTTATGTCAAACTGCTTGCCATCACATCATAAAAATCTAAGATGTTCCACCCTACCTAGCAGGGCTAACCCCCTCCCACGCCTTGCTTAAGCATCTGCTGCAAAATAGGGTGAAGCTTCACTGTTGACCAAGTTGACCACATATGTAGACAGTCTCTGAAAGCCAGCAAGCTACAGGCAGAGATCTCTACAGATGGATAACAACAGAACAAAATGTGGCCAATGGAAAATCTGCATCCCAAAACAAGATTAAAGGAAGATGAGTTCTTACACTGCGTTTTCATAGTTTTTTTTCCCCCCTCAATTCATGAGCAATTCCCACATTGCTCTATCCATTCAGTGCCATTCAGTGAACTGTATTAAAGATCTTATCCACGTGAAACAAGCTGTTCCACATTGACACCAAAGGAAACGATTTCTCAAATACTTTGCTTTTCACCTCTACTAAATCTACTTCTATTTAAGTTTGTTCCTCTGGACATTAGGGTTTTCTCTTGCACCTGTAGACTCTACGTATAAGAAATGATCAAAACAAAAGCCATAATTGTTCTGCTACTTCAGGCAGGGAGAAGGCCTCCATCACTCACAGTTAATAAAACTACATTCCATTCAAACCCTGATCATTTTTCTTCCCTAGTCACCAATTTATTCAGCCTTCTAAAACATCAGAAAACAGGTCTTTTGGAGAGTTTTAGCTGGACTCTGAAGCACAGCTTCATATATTAAAGCCTCCACTCCCCCCCTCCAAATCCAAACAAGGAAATTTGACTATAAGTCATTCTCATACAAGAAATTTGGAACATCCGAAGAACTCCCAGCAGCATTAGCTCAACACCCTCCCAATATGTGTTAGCTGAAGTTCCAGAGATTCTACTACCACTCTGCAGTCCTAAAAAGAGCATTGGACTCACGAAGCATCGCTCCAACACCTTCCCAAACAACATGGGACAAAAATAGCATGAGACTGCTCTACAGTGCCTTATACTTTTTCCACACTTGAGATTCCAGACAGCTATTTGAGCTAGGTTGACCAGTACCTGCAGAGTTCTTCTGTGAAAATAGTTTTGGTAATACTTTTCTTTACCAATAAGATGAAAAAAAAAAAAAAAAAAACCCCAAAAAAAACACATTACACAATAAAATAAAAAAAACAAAAAGAAAAAAAAAAAAAGAAAAAATGCAAGAAGTCTTCTATTACTGTAGTGATTTTTTTGCTAACTACAATACTACGAAATTATAAAATTAAATAATTAAATTTATTTTATTTTACACTTAAAATTATTTTACACTTAAAATTATGAAAGTTAGTTGGAAAAATTTCTGTCCCAAGGACCTTGGCTGGCCTTTGCACGCTTAGGTGATCACGTTTCTCTTTTTTGGGTTGCAGTTTGGATATGCTGATGCCAGTTTCCCATCTGTTCATTAATGTTTTTCCACATAATCATCAGAAATGGCATCATCTCAAAGACACCCATCACAAAGCTAAAAAATAATAACACTTCTTCCTAAAAGATAGCACAAAAATCTGATTCAGCAAACAAGATTCTGATTTAGCACACGAGAGAAGACTAAAATTCAGCTCACTGTAAAAGCTCGTTATCTAAGTTAGTTCATATTAACAATTCATAAGCACTGTTAGTAAGTATAATTAAGAAAAAGAAGTACAGCGACAGTTCAGGAAATGTCCTGTGTTTCAGGCCTTATTTCAGGATGTTGAGCAAGATGCTATGATAAGATATCCTCTAAGGCAGATTGTCAAGGAGGCCTCTTAAATTTGGTAGCTGTAGACCTCCTGAGCAGAATTTACCTTGTAAGACTAGGTATCTAGCAAAAAGTGGTGTTGTTCCATGTCTCAACCTAGAGCAGCAATTTTTAAAAGTATATTTGGAGTTCACATTACAAGAATTTTAAAAACCAAGCGAACAAAAAAAACCCAGCACTTCAAACTTGAGTGAGATTTCTTAGAGAATTCAGAAATATTTCAGAAAAATTACTTACAGAATACAAATGCTTTTGCCGGAAGCCCTCTTTAGTAATAGCACAGAAGAAACACGACGGTAAAGTTGAAGGCATATGATAATATTATCCTTAAAATACAGAAGCTGTAAAAACTAAATCAAGTCTCTAGAAGGAGGTAGGGAGGTACATTTTTAAATCTGGCACAGAGGTATAGGTTCACAAAGCCTGGTAGAGGTGGGTTAAACTTTACCTGCCACAGGCATGATTTCTTAGAAACTGTAAATATTCACTGCAACACAAATTTTCCTCAAAATGTTTAACACAGTAATGAAGCCAACCAGCCTTTTTCCTTCCTCCTCCTCCTCCCACCTGGAAAGGAAATGCTCTGCAAATCAGGCTGGTAGAGCATTTACCTTCTGTTCATGGAGCAGGGGCACACTGATATACTTAATGCCTAATCATAAGCAGCAATGTGTGAGACTTCAGCTAGACTCTTTGATCATTAGTTCTATCCCTATCTGTTGAAAATGAAGTATGTTCTCCCATTTTCCAACACATGCAAATGTGGACCAAAGATAAGCCATAGATGGGGAAAATACCCTCAAGTAATGCAGCCCTCAGAATGTAAGAATCAGCTCCAGTACAAACAGAATCTGGCATCTTTTTTACAAAAATCAATTCCTCAGACAAAAGGAGGCATCTTGGAAAGAAACAAGTTCACTGAGAAGCAACTTGCAGAGAAGGTTTCCCAAGTGAAGGCTCTCACAATTAACTTACTGCCCATTTTGGTCAGCGTGCCTGCAAAGCAAAGTATCTGGAGTAATGAGTGACTGTTTATTCATACTGGCTGGTATTTAGTAGTCTGCACTGTATAAGTACATATTATTTTAATCTATCAATGTGCCAATGAAATCTCTTTCTAAACATTTGCACTACAAGAGCAAGCACATCACTTAAATACTATGTTGGAAGAAGTAAGCTGCAGTAAATTACATCAGAGAGAAAGCCAGTTAGTTCAATTTTCCTGGAATTAGTGCATCTAGCCTTGTAGACTTTCGTCTGAAAAGGGTAAATACCTTCAGTTTTGAGAGAATACAAACACAATTTTAATCAAAGCTCTGAGATCTACAACATGCCTCAAACAAAGGGAACATCTTGATGCCAGTTACATAGAGCTCTTCATTCAAATGTAATCTTTTAATGTAGTTTCAAAAAGACTGTGACTCCTCTAACAAAAGCAGGTGAATTTCAGTCCTCTATCTCAGCTGTCTTAAAAGATAAAGATGACACTGATGTCTTCTTCTTAAGTTATTCAAGATAAGATGAGAAATTTAAAACCAAACCAAAAGTATCGCCCAATACACAAAAAACAGCTGCTAGGTTTCTTTGAAAACTTCTCGCCTTGAAATACTTTGGAGAGACAGGATATTAGGGTCATTTTTCTTACTTAAAAAAGACATTAAGCCAAAGCCTCTGCTCCTTGAATAATTTGTCTGCACTAAGGTTTATTAGCCACTGTAAACAAAATTTCTTGTATGAGTCAAGTCACAAAACTAGCCACAGCCCACCTGCTGAACTGCTCAACAGTGTTAGTGCTAAGAGTGCTGGGAATACTGCTGCTCTGCTTTGCTACAAACTGGTCTCATCTACTATAAATTAAACCTTATGTAGTACAGGTCCTTTAGCGTGCAAGATCAAAGATCTGTGTGCAGTCAGTCATTCACATAAACATGGTTATTCTACCAACTACTGGAAAGAGTCATAAATACAAGCCAAGTCAATTCCTTTCAATTCAGTGCTCATATACTTGTTCAAATAAATGTTTCAGAAGTTTTGAATTTCAGCTACTTTTTAAACTATTCAAAATGAAGTAAACGAAACTGAGCTTTATGAAGCAGGGACATCATGTCTTGTAAAAGAACACTGTGATTCATCCCCTTTCATTCCATTTTCATACTTCATGGGGAAAAGAAAACACATTTACAAAGTGTCTAAGTGAACTTAACTGTGCTGTGCACTTGCATAAGCTAAATTTCATACTCTATTACCATTTGTGTTCATAATACATCTCCCTTACATACCTTTTGGAAGTACTGCTAAGAGGTTAGCATCAATATCCTTTGTGCTGTTGGCAAGTTCCTCTTTATCTTCAAATGAGAACTCCTTCTGAAAACTGAAAGCAACATCTGGTTTACAGAACTGCGACTGTTTCTGCCACAAATCAAATACAGTCAAGATGTAACCAATTCCTGCAAGATAGTCCAACAGAGATACCAAAGAAAATACTTTCCATAAGAACGAAACTAGAAATAACCCCAAGAAACTCACAAAGCCAAACCTAACATCATTTGAAACTTATTTGGAACTGACTATGACACATTTTTGCATTAAATTGCTCACTGGAGACTGCCTTCAAAACTAGTAATTGCATTTGAAATCTATATAGAATGACTTGCCACAAATACTAAAACATACTTCATCAAATGCAGTACTAACTACACTCTCCACCCAGAAGCCTTCTGCACAACCACCTAGTTGCTGCTTCTGCTCTGATCTCTGGATAACACACAGTTCATAATACATTTAAGAGTAACAGGTCGATCAGTCACTTCGTAATAGCAAAAACGCCCAAGTAGATGAGAAAGAATCTCTTAAATATGTTCATTAAACATACATATTTTCACTCTGAAATGGAAATGTCATAATTGCCTATAGTGACTTTTTCAGAAGAAAAGTGTTCATCCCTGTGGGATCTACTCTACTAAAAATGGATGGAAACCTGATGTATTTAGAATCATAGAATCACCGAATTGCTCAGGCTGGAAAAGACTGTAAACATCACCAAGTGCAACCACAACCTAACCACACTACCCTAACAACCCTGTGCTACATCATGTCCCTGAGCACCACATCCATACGGTATTTAAACACATCCAGGAATGGTGACTCAACCTCTTCCCTGGGGAGCCTATTCCAGTGCTTAACAACCCTTTCTGTAAAGAAGTTTTCCTGATATCCAGCCTACACCTCCCCTGGCACAACTTAAGGCCATTTCCCCTTGTCCCGTCACTTGTCACCACTGAGAAGAGACCAGCCCTGCTCTTGCTGTAAGCATCTTTCAGGTACTGGAAGAGAGCAATAAGGTCTCCCCTCAGCCTTCCATACCCCAGACTAAAGAGCCCCAGTTCCTTCAGACTCTCCTCATTGGGCATATTCTACAAGGCCTTCACAAGCCTAGTTGTTAATCTATCCCAAACAGGCATAAGGATACTTCTATTAGTCTTAAGATCTTTAGTAAATTTTGTAGACAGGTGTAACAGATGCAAATCCTCGCAGTGATCCTGGGCTCTTCATTTTGTCACGGAATTGATGTGCTGTACAAGTTGCTGCCATTCTGATAAAACAAATTACACAGCCATAACACTGGAAAATCTTTTCTTAGGAGAGTTTTTAAATGGCTTTTTGAAGAGCTAAATATCCTTTCATCAAGGGTATTTGGCTAGGAAAAAAAAAAAAAGAAATTGTCCTTTTTTCTTTCTTTTTTTTTTTTTTTGTACTAATTTATCCAGATGAACATTTTTCAGTGAAAAGAAATATTATATTTCACTGAAATATAATAACTAAATAATATTTTACATGAACTGCAAGAAATATATGGTTCTTAATCATTTACAAATAATTTTCCTTTGTACGAAGACACTGTGGGAAAAACTGAACTCTTGAAATGACTATAAGGAACTGGCTGTGCCACATCCAGGCACCATGCCACATGCTGCAAATTGTCTTCAACAACTGCACTTAGAGTAATTGTTCAAGGTGCTGCCAAGAGCAGGAATGCTAGTCACCACAGAAAAGCAATAGCAAATAGAAGATTAAGAGCAGCAAAAAGCTGCTTGTTACAGAAAACCGTGCATCCTTATAGGGCGAATACACTTAGAACGGAACTAAAAGAAATATTTCCATAGTAGCCACAAGCAAATGGGTGCATATGTCATCTGAGACTGGGCTGGGACTCAGCAAGTTCATAGCACACTTCCACGTGCTTAACCCCATACTGCAATCACTCATGGCTTTTAAGCTTTACAATACACTATTTTCTTACAGATAGGTTCTGCAGAAACCCCAAAGTTGAGGGACTCAGTTTCAACTCAAAAGCAGTTTCTACTCCTTTTGGCTGAGGTTGGAAACTGCAAGTAAATCAAAACCAGAATCAATTTTGCCAAAACATTTTGATTACTTAAGATCTGTCTCAAAGTGCTGAGGGAACCAACTTACCACTTGCGAGCATCTGAGGTTTGTTTGACAGCACCTCCAATAGCTTCAGTAATGCTTGTGTCAGAGTAGTACCCTATGTTTCCATTAACCTAGGGTTCTTAACATTCTCTTATGCAGCAAAATCCTTGTTTAAATTAACTGCATGCTAACATCCACCACTGTACCTGAGTCACGTATCAATTTCCAAGGGAAAATCCATATAGAATCATGACCAGTACTAGCACATTGGTCATAAAAAGAATGGCATTACTGGATGGCTTGTGGATTTTCAACAAACTTTCAAATATTGTAAACTAGTTCAGCTCCCCTTTGCACCTTCATTCAAACTGTTTCAAAGACCCTGAAGCTGGAGATCCTTTAATTGTAGCCTAAATGTCTTTTGCTGGGTTTACATGCATCTGTTCTCTTGCCAGCATAGTTAATTATGTTACTCCTTTACAGAAGTTTCCATGTTTACTCAGATTTTTCAATACAGGCTCTTTCAATTTCACTGATCATCATTAAAAAATATTCTCTACCTGTTTCAGTTCTAAGTCATCTTTTTTGTATAATGGTGATTGGAACTGGAACATTTTGACTCTAGGCCCAGCTCTGCTACTGTCCTGTAAAAACAGGACTTCTAATGGAGAAAGCATGATTACATGACCAGATGGATGAATCATGCCCTACAATGTTTGCCTTTTTATAACTACATTACACTACATTAACTGCTCAATCCCGCAAGAGAAACTAATATGCCCAGGCTTTCATCAGTTGCAAGTGACAGAAAAACGTATTAGCCCCCAATGTACAATCGTGCAAGTAGTATTATTACATTACGTCCCTTTTTTTCATTCCTTTTCAAGGTCACCCAGTTCCTCCTGTACATGAACTCCTTCCTCCTTTGCTTCCAGCCTCTCCTCATTGGTGGATTTCATTAAAATTCTTGCAATAATCGCAAAGTTCTTAAAATTCACCTTGCTGGACTACATGACATCATAGGCTACCGGCTTCTCATATCCCTTCACAGTTTCCCCCATGCCCTCATTTACCCTTTCCTTCGAGACACACTGTCAACATTTATTTATTTATTTAATCATTAACTGTTTTCATCCAGTGGCTATTTAATCCACAGGGGGGAATTTTTGCTTCTCCTCTTTGCAGGCAGTTTTGTGGCAAGCTCTCTCACACTGCTGCAGGTACTATTGCTATTGCTTGGTTTAAATATTTGCACATTAGAAACAAAATGTTTTCAACAATGTATCAATTACATTGCTTTTACTTGATCAGAGAATTCAAAGACAGAGCACTGTTTTGAGGATGATGGTCTGTCCAAATAATTGGCTATTTGTAGGTACATATATAAAAATTGTTCTAGAAATGAATGTAGACATATTTAGGACATGTCACAGTATTCACTAAGAACATTCATTAGGAACCTAAATTGAGTCAGAATGATGATAAAGCAATTCCAAGTAGTTTTAAAAGCAACAATTTTTGAAGATTATTCCTAAGGGTTTTAAAAATATACTCATAAGCAATTCCACATCAAGACTTCCCTTTTTCCCTCAAGGGAACCTATCTAGATGTTGCCCTGTTTTATTAGCTTATCTGCTAAAGGAGCAGGTGCATCATCAATTTAATTGCTAACGTAGGGTCAGACAGCCCGATTTTAGAATGCCAGGCATACTGTGCTTTCAAACTCATCCACTGCCCTTTTTCCTTTTCAGTTAAATTTGGGTAACACAGAATCACAGAATTGTAGGGGTTGGAAGGAACCTCCAGAAATCATCTAGTCCAGCCCCCCTCAAAGTAGGCTCCCTACAGCAGGTAGGTGTCCAGGTGGGTCTTCAGTATCTCCATAGGAGAGTCCACAACCTCCCTAGGCAGCCCATTCCAGTGCTCTGTCACCCTTACTGCAAAGAAGTTCCATTGCATATTGGTGCAGAACTTCCTATGCTCCAGTTTATACCCATTTCCCCTTGTCCCGTCCCCACAGACCACTGAAAAGAGGTTGACCATAGAAGGTTTATACCAAAAAGGAAAATCCTCCTCATTTGCTTGCCTGGAATACAGCCTGCGTTTACAGTTCATGAAACAGAATAAACAGCATAAGGTCCCACAAGTTCGCTTTATGAAGGATTTACATGTGGTTTGGCCTCAGGTGGCCAAGGAACTCATGCTACACAATTTTCAGGAATTCATACAATTCCTATTAAAACACAGACAGTGTTTCACAACCTCAGTAGTTTTTCTTTAAAAACGATGTAGAAGTGGCATTAGTAGAGCATCTGACAACCTCAGTAGGTACACTCCTCTTGCAGGTTCCAAAGTGCAGGCTCCTTTTATACATCAGGGATTCCAATTTGAAAACTTCATCTGCTGCAGTAGCAGCATATGGTTTCTAAATAGCTGTCCCACTAACCTAGTTACATGCCCAAAAGCAAGCAGAAGTTTGATCCAAATGCCACTGGTAACACTGCTCTGGCATCTGGATTAAAACTACAGGACATAATGAGATTTTTTGATTAAAAGACATACGTGAAAATTCTCTTGTATACCTGCCAGACATGGGCTTGGCATTCATTATTCTTCTCCTTCTCTACTTCCACAATTTCTCTGGATTCCAAAATAAAAGATCTGCTCCATGGTTGCATCTTTCTCCAGTAGCCTTATCCCAGATTTCCACTCCCTGTGTGCCTCACACACCAGCTCACTGTTTCTCTGCAATACAGCAGGTAACCAGAAATGCTCAAGAAGTGTGTACTGATGGGAGGGGGTCACACAGATGAAGTGGGGAAGGGAACAGAGAGGGAATGTGACCTGCCACATTCTTACCTAAGCACTACAACACCTTACCCAGCCACATGTGACCAGGCCTTAAGGCTGCAAGCATGAGGCAGCAGTGTCCTACAAGGAATCAGCCACCTCAGCCCTCTGTTCACCTGCAAGGTCCCCTTCTATATGCTGACAAAGCTGTCTGCACAACTGTACCAATAATTCCCTTACCTTGACCACCTCACTTTTCAGACAGATCAGTTTTGCACACTGGCCCACTAGATTTGGGTACTGTGCTCAGGCCTTTCAGAAAAGTGGGACTTTGAGCCCCACTGGGTCTAAAGAGAGGCATCCTTGCCTACAGCAGGGGGTTGGAATCCTCAACCAACTCAAACCATTCTATGATTCTGTGATTGATTGCAGCAGCAGGAGACGCAGAGCAGAGTGGGACTCTTTCCTTAGCAGTATGAGTTGTAAATTTACACGATTATTTAGGAGGCAGTTTTCAATAACTGTTCAGATGAAAGCTTGGTCCTGTGAGAGGAACAAGAATTATTTTTCCCAGCAAAAGAACAAATGGAGATTCCTACCATGACTAAAGTAACAATCATGCAATTAACTGACTTTACCAGGCAAGAAGAAAGACTTGGCCTTACCTTAAAGCTCTCTTCCTGTGGAGCAATCGTGAAGGTTTAAATCTAACTGAGTTTCCTTTGTCAAAATCTGTGAAATTAAAAAAAGAAAGAAAGAAAAAGAAAAAAAAACATTACAAAGACATGCTTTAATAAATAGGGAACTTTCAGGAAACCACTTTGTAACTTCCAGCCATGGTCCTTTTCCACTGGAAAAAACTCTACAAAGGCCTTTCTTCTAGTTAAAGTGGCATAGGCTGCCATGCCCAAGGTGGTAATAAACCAAACCTTGCAAAAGTAAGTAAAGACAGTAAAACATATGGCAGTTTCATAAGGTATTGAAGCTTTTGATATTCTAATCCCAGTATTAAGTGTAGCACTGCAGCCTGGGGGTATCATTTAAACTGCTTGACTTGGTTTCCCTGCTTAGAAAATGCACAGTAGATATGTTTTATGTTTGTAAAGCATTTTGATAATGAAAAATGCAGCAACAGCCTTTATGGCTGCAGCCAGGCAATACTCTAAAAACTGCATAATCACTGCAGAAATCAGAAATACTCAGCTGAGAGTTTGTTGTAGCAACATTATTACATCCTCTGTGACAAAAGCATTTCTGAAGGTTGACCACTGTTTGGAAACTCCTGTTTTTTTTTCTGAATAACCTTAGGACTTGTACTGCTTTCCACTCTGATAATAAACATGGTTACATGAGAGCAAAATTATATGAGATGCAGCCTTAAATTCAAGAAGTACGTATTACAAAGCCACTGGTTTCCAAACCTCTCTCTGAAACACAGCAAGCAACAGGCCATCTCCCCTCTCTCCCCACAGTTGTAACTTCCTCATTTCTGCACTCAAGAACATCACTGTAGGTCTATAAATGATGACTGGTAGCAAGAGAGGGGGGCAATGCACCAAACATCAGCTGCCTCCATTCAGCAGTGAAAATGCTGATGCTATTAGGAGACTTTACAGAATGGACAGCCAGGAAGCAGGGCAGCCTGGTCGGTTACTGCTGCTGAAGAAAACATGAAGCTACTAAAAATGTACTCCCAGTGAGAAAATGCCTTTAAACCTCCATTTACATTAAGTCAACTACCTCAGGACTCAAAAATCAATACACCATTTTTCACCTTATTCTTCAGACAAAAACTTCAAAACAATTCAAAAACAGCAACAACCCTTTAAACTCTAATGCAAAGCTCAGATTTAACTACTTCAAGGAAGAGATAATCAGCCAGTGTACTCTGCTACATGTTGTTGTATTATTTAAAATAATTGTTTTGGAATTGTTTTGCAAGCAAAAATACTCTTGTATTTTAAAATCTAGGTATGATGATGATTATTTCTTGCAGAAAGGTTTTTAAAAAAGCTTCTTATAGCTGACAATATCAGTCTGAATTTATAAAATGCACATTTTCTCACTGGCTTTCAAAACTTTTCTCCTCCCTTTGCTCTTCCATGCCTTCCCCTCAGTCACCTTTCCAGGTCCACCGGTTTAAAAAAAAAAAAAAAAAAAAAAAAAAAAAAAAAAAAAGTTCAACACTTTATATATAAAGAGGCTTAAAATGTGCAAAAGGGCATTTTTTGGAATTTGCTGCAAGTCGAGCAATTGTGCTAACAGCATCTTCAGTGTTAATAAACAACTTTTTCCTGTTTTTCTTAACGTTTGCTTTTTCTCCCCGAGCAAATGGAGAATAAAGCACAGAGATTACACAGAATCAGCTTGCCAGACCAAACAGAAACAACAGTATTAATGGTATATAACTCACTGCATTTTAAACAAGAACATTAGAAAGAAGATAATACTGCATACTGTAAGAATCTCTAAAAAGGCCAGGTTTACATCACTGTGAGAACAGTATGCCACAGCTTAACAAGCCCAGCCCAGTATCTGTTCAGTTAATCAGAACCAGGCATATCTTAAACACACAGCCATTCCAACAGGATAACCACCCATGCTATAGTTTCTGGCACTAAACAGCTGTCTGCCACAAAGTCCTCAAGCAGAGCACAGGGAAATGCTCCCTTATCCTGGCCAAAAATAAAGAGGAGATGTGAGAAGGGAAGAAGGCAGCTTTCATCACAGCAGTGGGAGAGGAGCTGCTCAGATGGAGCACTCACAAGCTTTTCTGACTCTTGCTCCCCATTAAACACATATAGTAATATTCATACATGCCATATTCATAGTGCCTCAAAAACCTATTAAAACTCTGCTGTAATTTGTAGGGTAAGCTCCTCTCTTTCCCCACCCAAATAAACAGAGAACTACGTGCTGTTACACAGTTCTGATATTTTATGAATTTCCTCCTGTTCAAATTAAGCCCCATGTGGGAGGATTAAAGTCCAATCAAACTTACTGACTGTAATATGGAAGCTTTAAGATTAAATGCAAGCAAAGACAAAAAATTAAAAACAACTGTGCTTCAAAAGGAAATAAGTAAGTCCACAAAATGAACATCAGTCTTATTTCAATGGTTAATTTAAAGAAACCCTCATAATACCTGATACAACAGAAAGAAAATCATTGCAACATCATTTTGTCGCCCCTTTCACTGAAGAATAAACATCCATATAACCCTATTAACACAATTATAAATATTTGTATTCAAAATTGAGAATATCTTTACTGAAGTGTAAATCGAACTTGCTCACAAGTTTAACCATTTCTTCAGTCTTATCCCCCCTCAACCCCCCGGATACAAACTACCCAATAAAGCCACTGTCCCCAGTTTAACACATAGGAAATTAAAAATGCTGAATTAAAAAAAAAATCCAGATGCAACCTTGCACTACTATTTGCTATATTTAAAGGCCCTAAGTCGGCGGCAAGCTAATTAGAAGATCCATCTAATCGGATCTTTCAAAAGTGTCCTTTAGGAAATAATGAAACAGACGAAGTGACTAAGTGCATACTGATCACTAAAGTAGCTAATGTAGCTGAAGGAGATGCAGTCAAACAATATTTACACATACAACCATACAAGAGATTAAAAGCACACAAACTGCATTTTCCTCTATCTACTTGGAACTCTTACCTTGCTCCTCAGAGTGTTTAACATTTCCCAAATAGCTGGAGATCCAAGGATTTCGGAACATGGTTGTACAAACAAAGGATTCAGCAAAGAGAAACTACAACAGCAGCTAATTCCCAACCAGCCACAGCCCTAGGCCTGTCTGAGCAATATCATGTAGAGATTTTTTCATAGCACAGGACTGGAGCTGTCAGGCTACTGCGTCCCGGGGAGTACAGTAAATGCATAGCAATAGGCTGCAAGCTGGAGCCGCTCAAGCCAATAATCAGATTACAAACAGAAATTAGGCACATGAATGCTAAAACAGATTGGGCAATGGTGATTGGAAGATTTATAATATCACCACTTCAAAGATGCAGCCAAATCACACGTTATATTCCTGCAAAATGAAAGCAGACCGTCTAAATCCTCATATAAAAAGAAAGAATTCTGCAAAAAGAGGAATAATGCCTCTCCATCTCTGATCAGGATAAACTGCAATGCTTGCTGAAGAAAAACTGCATCCAGGCTGCCAAAAAATGGACTCTGTTAATCATATCATTATGCTAAACGTTTTGCCCAACTATTAGTTGGAACGTTTAAAACAGACAAGATTTATGGATAACATGTGAGCGAAACGACTGGTGGGGGTGGGGATTTACGAACAGACACTGCAGCTCAAAATATTTTAATTTGAGACAGAAGGTGTAAAATTGCACAAGTACTGTCTGTCTAGCTACCATTTTTTTATTAAACAGATTTGATGGATTTTCAATCCAAGAGAGGAGTCAGAATCCTTTACAGTTCTTTGTGGAAGTCTGGAAACGTTTGTTCAAAATGGGGCAAGAGCCCTGGCTTAGCCTTCCACAGCTCTACCTGATCATCCCAGCCAACCACCCAGCACATAAATACCTGACTGAGACAGACCCACACACTGAACCCCATCCAACTGAAGGCAGAAGCTGCCTGCTGGCTTCCCTGTCCCAAACACACTTGTTAGTTATCTTCAGAAAGATTTCAGCCAGCAGCAGCAAACTCAGCACAAGGATGAAGTTGTGAGGACACTGAAAAAGTCCTAGAAACAGAAGTTCTTAACTTTGCTTACCCATTTCTATGATATCTGCTACATTAAAACCCTTACCCATGTTTGAAATTTCCACGTACCAGCAAAAATATAAGCACCAATGCTATGAAAGAGACTCCAGAACTACAAGTGAAAAATATAATCTATGAAAAAGCTAACAGTATTAATTGGCTCAATGTGAAGCTGTTTTAGCCTCTCTAGGTCATCGAAACTACAGCTTTTCATGCTAACAGGTTCTGTCAATGTACATAAGAATACACACTCCATATTGTCTATATTGTCTAATGTTATTTACTGCCATTTTATTTTTAATCACGACTCATCTTGAGTAGCTTTAACAGAAGCATGATTATTGGTTGATCTTTCAACTGTATAGAGTTCTCTTCAACAAGAGTAGTCCAACGCTTAGGACACAACATTGAAGCCCTCCCAAAGTAGAATCGTAGAATCACAGAGTTACAAAGTTGGAAACGACCTACAAGATCATCTAGTACACCCATCCTCCTACCATCATTCCTACCCACTAAGCTACTAAACCACATCTCATAGCACGTCATCCAGTAATATATGAGTAACATATACCTAGATCAAAATTATCTGGTGGTACACACCCTGTTTTTTTCTTTGCTTCTAAACTTACTAGCTCTTGCATTTAATTCTAACCACCACATCACTATCATATAGAACAGGGACCCAAACACTGCTGTGCTCTGTGGATCAGCTGTACCAGGCCTAGAAAATATAAAAGCAAAAATGTAATCAGTCAATACCTGTTGAAAACTTGCCATTAACCTGAAAATCTGCTTTCTGGACCAGACATATGTGCTAATGTGCTCAAAACACAAAGGAGACAGTGACTATGGAGGTAACACAAACTGCTAATAACGCCTACTTTGGATGTTATAGACTGAACCCTGCTTCCATGAATACTACTAGTATGAATACTTGTTTGACCTCATGAAATGAATGTATTACTTTCTACCTGTAGCATTT